TCATATTTTAAAAGTTAAAATAATAATAATAATATTAAATAAAAATATATACACACCTCTTATAAAATCTGCAAGCTGCTCTTTTGTTATGGATGTATAACCTAAATATTCCAAATGTTCTAAAACTTCACGAGGATCAATTTCAATTGACATTTCAGCTTATTCCCATTAAAATTTACTAACAAAAAAATAAAAACAATGCGACCACTTAATAAGTCCCCTGTCAACGAACATTGGCATATCTAACAGCCTGCAGGAGGGAATATGATTTCAAAACAAACGGGTAGATCAGAATTTTCGAGGGAAACTTCAAAATAAATCGATAGTATCCAGATGTTCGATATTTCATTTATAGTTGAAATATTCCTCCTTTTTGGGTATTTCATATATTAATATTAAATTAGAAAAATATTATCATAGTAAATACAACTACTCAAGATAAAAAAATCTGTTGTAATTATGCTGCTTATCAATATAATAGAAATAATGAGTCGTCCTCAAACTTTCCAAAAGAAAAAAAAAAGTTTTATAATATAATTTTCGTCATATTTAGATATATACTGTAAGCCCCCCTCACGCGGTAAATATTATTGATTCAATAATATTGAAGCGATATTCTTGAACTTGGTATACCAAATGTTACAAGTTCTACAATAAATTCCTCAGATGGTCAATATATTCGGTGTTAAATCAATAATATTTATCCTGTTGATATGTAGAAAACAGAAAGTAAAACTTTAGCAGTAATTGATGGCAGAACTAAACAAGTGAGGAGGAACTAGAATGGAGTGCAGATCTCTTTTAATTTATGACCAAAGTATGCTAGCAAGTAAAATATTATAAGGTTGAAAAAAATATAATTAATGGCTGAGTTCAAAATTCAGAAAAAATAAAATAATCCTTCATCAAAATGTATTTAGTTATTCGCTAAAACTGCAAAACTAGTCCAGCAAGTAACTTTTGGTCTTTCATGCCAACACCTAACAGCTATCCTCTTGTTGCCACCGCATTCTAACCATATTACTCTCACTGAGATCAGTGGCGGATCCAGGAATTTTCTCTGGGAGGGGGGAGGCGCACCTCTGTACTAGATGCTTCCCTAGCCCTATCCGTTCTCCCACCACTACCCATCTCCCTCCACTCCTTAGCTGAGTTTAGCCGATCAGAAGTCCTGTTTAAATGGTTTTAACAAAAGTAAACTCTATTTTTGTTTAAAGTAAATTTTGTCTAGTTTACAGTGAAGCAATGATTAATTAATTACTTTAAATAGTTATTTTGTTATAACTTCCTTTTCAACAAAAAACATAGCTTACATGAAAAATCACAAAACTTTATTTTCCTACTTTTCTGCTGAAAATCGAATCATTGTTTATATAAACTTTTTTATATTTATTGAGTTAGGCTATCATTCCTTTAAATATTTCTCTCTGCTTACGAGACATCCTATATATAGATAGATAGATAGAAAAAAAACTTTATTCTGGGACTAAGTCCCTTCAGAATAACAATAATGTACAAAATAATAGAATATTACTGGCCTGAACGTTGAAACAATAAATAAAATTGATAAAATAAAATAAAAAGTAAAGAAAACCTTAGGTGCACAAGCTATATACAAACAGATAAAACTATGTACAGAGCATTTAAAATTATGAACAAAACAATTAAAACTATGAACGAATCACTTGAACTATGAACAAAATTATATTTAAGGGTTGAACAACATAAACATACACTTTGAGAAATGAAGAACGAAAAAGAGATACAATGAGTTCATTTCATAAAAAAAAAAAAAAAAAAAAAAACTTTACTTGAATATATATATAAAAATAAACAGTTACTTATAATTGAATAAAAAAAAAATAATAAAAAAAAATGTATGTATTGAAATTCCTACGTCGATAGTAGGAAATGCATGTACTATCTCTTACCAAGTGTTATGATTATATGATTGCTACACAATACATGTATAATATCAACAGTTAGCTGGTATCAGACTGTTTTTGGAACAGGAATTGGAATAGGAGGTTTTTGAATGTATACAGGGAAGGGGCATGTCGAATTTTGATCGGGAGGGAATTCCAAAAGTTGACAGAGCGGGCTATAAAGGAATTTTGGAATGAGGCAGATCTATGAGAAGGGATGTATAGGTCCGAGGGTCGGGATCTTGTAGTGAGTGAATGGATTGAGGACTTAAATTGGAGAAGGTTGTAGGCATAAGAAGGACGATGATCGGTAATGATTTGATAAAGGAAAGTGCCAAGGAAATATTGTCTTCTTAAGGAGGGGAAGAGCCACCCTAACTCAGTGTAGTGGTGGGAGACACGGGAGCGTCTCGGGGTTCCAATTACAAATCTTACGAAGCAATTCATAAGTCTTTTGAGTCTATCACGCAGTTCCACCGAGAGGCCATCGTACACCACACAGCTGTAGTCAAAGTGGGGAAAGATGAGAGAGGAAACTATGAGTCTACGGGTATTTTGGGGTAGAAGATGGCGGAAGTGATGGAATAGTTTGAGGGTAGAAATTGCACGGCGGGATATATGAGAGATATGGTGATTCCAGGAAAGGGTTTGATCTATGAGAAAGCCTAAATTTTTAACAAAGGGATAGAAGGTGATGGGGTGGTTGTTTAGATAGAGTGAGGGAAAGTTGGTGTGGGATCTAAGAAGGGGCTTGGAACCAATGAGAATGGCCTGAGTTTTGGCAGCATTTAGCCTTAATCCATTTAAGTGGTCCCAGGCACTAATTCGATCTAAATCTTCTTGAATTTTGGCAAATGCCACCAATAACTCAGCGGGAGAAAAGGATAAATAGATTTGAGAATCGTCGGCATAAAGGTGGTGGGAACAATGGATAATTGAATCATTTAGGTCATTAATATAAGAACTGAACAGAAGAGGAGACATGCTTGAACCCTGTGCAACTCCTGAGGATAAAGGAAGGTAGGCAGATAGAGGTTGATTAGGTATGGAAACTGCTTGGGTTCGTTGTGAGAGGAAAGACTGGAACCAAGAGATGGAACTATTGGAGAAGGATTATGATTTTAGCTTGTTGAAAAGGATGGAATGGATAATGGAATCGAAAGCTTTGGAGAAATCAAGCAGTATAAGTATGGTTAGTTTTTTGTCATCTATTGCAGTCTGGATATCACTAGTAATTTTAATCAGAGCAGATTGTGTAGAGTAGCCAGGACGGAAGCCAGATTGGAGAGGATCGAGTTGGTTGGATTGTTCAAGGTAGTTGGAAACTTGGGATTGCACTAACTTTTCTAGGGGTTTAGAAAGATTGGAAAGGATTGATATTGGGCGGAAATCTTCGGGAGAGGATGGATTAGGCTTTTTGTTTAAAGGAAGGACAATGGCTTTTTTCCAAGAGGTCGGGAATATTGAATTCTGCAGGGAGAAATTGTAGATGAAAAGGAGTGCCGGGAGGATTTCAGGGAGACATAATTTTATTAGTTTGATAGGAATGCCATCTGGGCCTACGGAATTGGAACGGGATTTCATTATAACGGTAATAAGGTCTGTGGGAGAAATGTCGGAAAAATAAAAATTATTGTCGTTAAAAGGTACCTCTGGAGAAAAGCCGGAAGGGGATGGTAAAGAAGAGGTGGAAACCGATCTAAAGTGGGAGTTTAGGTCATCAGGTGATATTGGGAAAACTGAGGAAGGGGATCTAGAAGGTTCACAGAGGGAAAGCTTACGAAGTAGGAGCCATTTTGATTTGATATCAGGAGCTGAGGAAAGGGCTTCGTGAAAGTAGTTCGCTTTCGCTTGTCGGATCCTTGTCTGTGTCGTGTTACGTTATATAGGTTTAGACATGTCAAAAACTGAATTGCTGACACCGGTCAACAATAGAAAACTTTTTACAGTAAAAAATCCAGATTTATCTGATCTTTTTTTTCCTATATTACTACTAAACAGTGTATCAAAGCAGTCATGCAGCTTGGAAATGAGTTCTCTATGAACCAAAACTCAGAATAATTTCTGATTCCGAACATAATCAGACTCCGATCAAATCGGCGATCAAATAATTAGTATCTTGCTTCATGAAAACGTTCCCAACAGCAGCTATTTTAAGAAAAGAACAACACTTTCTCATGAGAAATGCACAAATTATTATCGAGATCAGTATTATGAATCGCATGGATTCTTCAAGAAGACTATAGTTGCCTAAGTTTGCAATGCACCCAGACCTATTGGAACTGAATAAAAACTGGGTCCGGGAGAAAATCCGTATTTTCTTGTGCTCGAATAAAAGGTTGTTCGAAAGAATAAATGAAGTTCATACTTTTTTAAAATAAATTTGCCTCCATCGTGTATTTCACCTGCGAGATGTATTTCAGTTCGGAGTCAAGAGGAACAAATGGGACAGCAGCACAAGCCTTCGTATCTCACGGCGGCCCAAAAACTACATCACTCTTTTCTTTGAGTAGCTGCTTTTTGGAACTTTTTGTCCACCATCCAGAGGAAGGCTCGCCGCCTTGCAGAATTGCTGGTCACGATAATATTTTTTTTATATTACATTAGGATATTCATCGTCTAAGAGGATGAATTTTCCTTATGTTTCCCTTTTCTTTAAATAGCTGCTTTTGGGAAACTTTTTTGGAATTATTTTTCCAGCTTTCAGGGGGGAAGGGAGCGCCCCCCGCTGGATCCGCTAGTGCGGTACTGCCCAGAGCTTTTTAAGATCGGTATATATGGTTTAATATGGCTCAATATAGCCCTTAGAGGTGCAATTATATTGACACTGATTCAGTAATATTGAAGGAGCTTCAATAAAAATAAAAATAAATTGATATCAACCAGTTTGATTGACGTCAATTTATTAGCTGCCAATGTAGCTCTTTCACGATCATTATATTAAAGAAACACGATATTGATCGTGTAAGTGGCGATTTAGTTGAGAATATATCGATGTAATAAAAACATGGAATCAACTATGCTATCTATCGATTTGTATTCATATCACTACTATTGTTGCCATTCCCGGTTTAACTTAATGATAAGAAGGATGTGAGTTGATAGATCGGCTATCAAGGCTGTTATCATAGCGGTTAGATAAGATGTTCTCCTTGAAATCAAATTCCTACTATAAAAATGACAATAGATGCTATTACCATGCTATCCACATTATTCTTTTCTTAAAATAACCCAATCATTGTATACAGTTTATTTCCTTCTTATGATGTATAATGAAAGATTTGTTAAAGGACAATTTATAAATTAGATATAAGTAAGTGAGCACAATGCTAGGTATTGATACCTGTCAGGAAATGTTTCCATCTAGATGGTCTTTGTGGCTGTTTTTGTTGTATGTTACCCTGTTTGTCAACCAAGGTAAATATTATGTTGTAAGACAGCATACATATAATATTTTATACTTTTATAACTTATTGTTCTAGGCTGGTTAGTAACCAGGTCCCAAAAATCTGATAACAAATACAATTATGATACAGAAATTGCCGTTTTTTTAACCGAAGGAATAAAACTGTTTGTGTGTATTGTTGGATACAGTTTTCAGTAAGTTTTTTTTAAATCCTCTTTAGTTGTATGTAAATAGGAAGAGGTCTAATTGAAGTTAATCTGAAATTAGATTATTGGTAGAAGAAATTTAAAAAATGTGATAGTTGTCTTGTTTGATTATAGTATCTGATAAAATACAAATTAATTATTTGACCTTCTTTTCAGACATAGCTTACTATCAATTGTTAGCGAGACATCAAGAAACATCAGAGGTGAGTTTCTAAATTCACAACTTGAAGGGTACTTTCTTTATCCTATTTTAAGAAATATGATAGTAAATAGTTTAATATCTGTAGTTAGCATCCCATAATTCAATAGAAACAAGTACAAAGATTTTTTTTTTTTTATGTTACTATTAAATAATTCCAAGTGATTTATTTCTTTTAAAAGCTAACAGAAACATTTTGCACTTTTGTTCGCAACTACAAATATACATTATATCATAGTTGTATTTACTTATTCTCTCTTCTACTGGCTTCTTTTACTGTATATGGATAGCTTATCGTGTTTCCTATTATTCCTGATTATTCTGCTTCCTTCCTCTTACAGATCTATCTTCAGTATTTCTCTCTCAGATTGATCTGAATAGATTACTTCATATGTTTCAGAATCCATAACATTCAACTTACTAAATCTAGTGCCACATATCCCAGCAACAATGATTTATATGATGCGGCTATTTCAATATTAAAATTTTAATTGTTATTCGTTGGTTTAATGGTGTATTGCTCTACCTTTGATGTTGGTGGATACTGCTTTCAATCTTTGATTACCGTAGTCAATTACGATAACTATTCCTTATAATGAATGCTGTTTAACGATGTAAATAGTATCCAGGAGGCTGATACTTGCCCAATCAATAATTATAATACTGTATTATGGTCACCCTCAGTATTAGTTGCATCAGTCTAATTTAAGATTATCCTTATTTTTGTATAAATTCAGATTATCTTCATGACATACTAATGCTCACTTATAGAATAATATGTAAGTTGTGTTATTGAAGTAACCTCTTGAATACCAGATATAGAAAGGGAGTGACCAGCTAGAAGACTGGTTACAAGGTGAATCTTCCTAGTAAACAATTCCAAGAGAAAGTAGACAGTGACAACAATGCCATATGGTTATATAGTGAGTTGAATAAGTTGAGAGGGTAGCTGCTCATTTATTTGCATGACTCTCTTTGTCTCCAGTCTCGTAGCTTATCACTTCTGGTGAGGTTCAGATTTCAGGCAACATATTTAGCTATGATCCAATATCTAATTTGTAGTTAATCCTCTAATATTTAAATTTTATATGCAAATTTTAAAATTTCAGTTGCAGTTCTTTATTTTGTACCTGCTGGACTTTATTGCATTTACAACAATTTGTCCTATATCAATCTTTCCACATTTGACCCAACAACATACTTTCTTGCTCTCCAGCTTCGAGTTGTAGCCACAGGAGTAGTTTTCCAAGTAATTGAAAATTTTCAAGTATCGTAGAATATTTCACTTTAATATTTTATTTATTTAATATTTCATCAGTTACCATATTTATATTTCAACACTTCTGAGACGTATGAAAGTTATCAATGTACTTCAATAGTGGTTAAACCATTTCATTTTAATCTTACCATCATTCATTCATTTCACGGTACTACAACCCAGTTACAGGTCTTGGCCTCCTCTAACCGTTTCCTCCTATCCTCACGGTCTTGCGCCGACGCCATCCTGTTCCTAACTCCCAGCATGCTGCGGGCGTTTCCCGCCACACCATCGGCTGTGCAAGCAATATTTTGGGCATTTCTCCATCCGCCATTCTGGCAATATGCCCCGCATATCTTAAACACCTCAACTTCATTGCTTTCACAATGTCAGCTTCTCCGAAAGCATTGTACAGCTCCTGGTTCGTGTGCCGCTTCCACTCCTCTCCAACTTCTACTCCCGAAAAACACGGCATAGAACTTTTATTTAAAAAACAAGGAGTTCCTTTTTGGTGGCCTTCGAAATTGTCCAGCACTCCGATCCATAAAGAAGTACAGGACGCACCAATGTCTTGTAGAGGTGGAGCTTGGTTTATCTGGAAGGTATCCACCTGCTTAGCTGCTTGCTGCTGCCCTTAAAGTTACTAACTGTGCTGCCCCATATCTGATTCTTAGCATTGTAATCTCCACCACATAGAAATCTGTTACCCAAAGAATGCAACGACTGGTCAAATGTTTGATAAATTTTTACCAGGAGGACAATATAGAGCTGCTATGGTAAGATTAACCTTTACATCGCAAAAAGAAACGACAGAAGAAGAGGGAGGAGATAGAAAATATAGAACTGTTACACCGTAACAAAGAAAGTAGAGCTTTCTTCAGAATGGTCAACAAGGACAGAAAGCAATATATTAATACATTAAAATCCTGTAGAGATAAAGAAGGTAACCTTATGGCCAACATGTCGGGTGTTCTTGGCAAATGGAGGAATTACTTCAATAATCTTCGCAAATCAAGTGAAGAAGATACCTGTGATGAAGTAGTAAATCAAGGAGAAGAAATCAACAGAATACAGATGGGAGAACAAGAGATAGATCTTGAACCGCCTTCTGAAGATGAGGTTGCAGATGCCATAAAAAAAACTCAAAAATAATAAGGCTCCTGGTGCTGACGCACTCCCTGATGAACTTTTAAAATGCGGTGGAAACGAGCTCACCAAAGCTCTACAGGATCTTCTCCTTGTGATATGGACTGATGAGATGATGCCCTCTGACTGGGATAGGTCAATTATCTGTCCTATACATAAAAATAGTGATATGTTGCTGTGCAGCAATTATTAAGGTATCTCGCTGCTGTCTTATGCCTATAAGATACTATCTCATGTTCTGTTTGGACATCTTTTGACATGTGCTGAACGTGAGCTCGGTCTGTACCAGAGAGGGTTTGTCAAAAACCTAGGAGTAATCTTTGACCTGAACCTCTTCTGGAATAACCATATCTCCCAAAATACCCGAAAATCCATAACTGTCCTTAAACAACTCCTAAGATTCCATGATTGTATGGGGGGCTATCTGCCAGGCTAGAAATGAGACTGAAGAAACTAATGAACTTTTTTTTTTTCTTCCCTACCTCGCCATTTTAGGCTATACGGGATCTCCCCGGGCCAGAGGGTGAGGGCGGGGAATTTAAAATCCCCTCCGGCACCGGGACGCGAACTCGTACTTATTTTTGTCTCTCAAAACTTCATATATCTGGTTGCCGGGCAACTCGCGGTGCTGTGCACACGCTTTAGCCCATTCGGCCACCCTGCCACCTGAGAAACTCATGAACTGTTTCATAAGATACATCTTCAGGATTCCCAGGCGTTCACATTTTTCATTCTGGTACACCAAGTTGAAGCGGCTTTATCCTAATTCCCGACGACATTTCCTCCTTGTTGTTTTCCTTTTTCAAGTCCTCAGAACCAAAAACCCTCCCTACTTCCTGTAACTCCTTACTCTGCGCTCCTCTATCCACTCTCTTAATACTTGGTCTCAACCTATAGATTCATATATCCCCTCCCATGAAACTACTTCCTTCAGCAAATCCTTAGTCAATCTTACTACCTCCTTTTGGAACTCTCTTCCTACCTCCATATGTCAACCCTCGTCCACAAATTCCTTCAAACAACTCCTGTTCCACCACCTACTCCACATTCAAACTTCCGCTAGCATTTAAAATTACTAGTATCTGTATACTGTTTAATTTCAATCTACTGCACAATTGCAATAACAATAAGGAGTTAATTAGTTTGTATTTTTTATTATTTTAAGCCAGACTAATACCCATAAATTTGTAACACTGTTATTATTCTTAAGGGACTGTAGTCCCAGAATAAAATCATTTCTTCATTCATAATGTCTGATAAGAAGGTCCCATGTTCGGTAGAAAGAGAAGACAATCATCAGGTGTTCCAATGACTAATTGAAGTGGGAAAAAAATAGGTGTTGAAGGTTGTTTTTGGGACAAGGTTGGATACAAGTTGAGATGCAGATTGGTGAGATAATGTGACTCGGGACAAGATTCTATGAAAGTTTAAATAGAATGGAACAGCAAAAGTTAGCTTGCAGGGTGATATAACAGTGTTTAATGGCCTCTGTGAGCTTCGTCCTACTTTTCTGTGTAACCTTACCAAGCTGCATCTCAATTTTTACCCGGCCTAAGAAACCCACACTATGGCTAGGTATGCGTCTATCTCTCCTTTTTGTAGATAAAAAGGAATCTATCCATCATTCATATAATTATTTAATGTAATGAGTTCACTGTTCTTATCTACCTTATTATTTATTTTAACTATTATTATTTGTCTTATATTTTAACTGAATATTTTTAAATTCAAATCTGAATTTTTATATTTTTATTTATCTATTTATAGAATATTTTTGTATATATCTGTTTAATATTATTATTTTTAATTTTACAGTTTATATTTAATAAGAAGCTAAGTGGAAAACAGTGGTTTTCTTTAGTCCTTTTAACAGCAGGTTGCATGTTGAAAGTTATTAATTTTGGAGACGCCCCAGTTGAAATAGCTCATCAAGCACAGGGAAAACAACTCAGTCTGTCGGCATCTTTAAGTTCTCTATTACTTTTGCTACAGGTGAGCTAAGTTTTTTTTTAATTAATTTTTTTGGTATTCCTTAAATAATTGGTCGGGTCGAAACCTCCCTTGTTATCTAATCTTATATCACATAACCTCCCTTCTCTTATCTCCTTTAATCTAAGTTATTCCATTTTTTATTTTTTGTTCCTCGTGTAAGCTGTGAGTTAGTGTCATTTTCGTAAAACTATGGATGTTGTTACATTGTTCAAAGTGCCTTCTTCCGAAGAAGAGGCTATCAAATATTTTCAAGACGCTGAGATAATTGCAAAGGTGAAATATTGTGATGAAGTTCGACGGGAAGACGAAATGGAGATGCTTTCATACTTTTAACAAAAACGTTTCTAGAAGGAAAGGAACATGGTTAGAGGGGTCGAGGATTTCTTTTTTTAACGGCTTTAAAATTCATTTATGGATGATCCCATAATTTAACAACAATATGAAGACATATATTTTGTAATGTTTTTACATTATATATGTATAATGTTTTGGTCTATTTAATTTATATGTTGTAAAATAAAAGTATTTTTTTATTATTACATTTGTTTTTGTTTACAATTTCAATAATATGAATATAATACAATAAATATGAATACAAAGATATAATAACATAAATATAAAACAATAAATATGAAAACGGAGATAGGAATTATCAGTGGCTTATCAGAATTATCAGTGTTAAGGTTATAAACATTGGCAGATAGGAATCGGACCCGACCGGCTATTTAAGGAGTACCATTTTTTTTTTTATTGTTTTCTACTTTTTTGTATTGTTTTTAAAATTTTATTTATGATTTTGTAGGTTGCTTGTTCCTGTTTAGCTGGTGTTTATAACGAGTACCTACTAAAGTCACATAGTGAAAATCTTAGTCTCTACTTACAAAACATTTTTCAATATCTTGATTCTATAATATGTATCATAGCTATTTTATCATTTGGAGGAAATATTAATAAGTTATTTAATCATGAAACTTATGTCCCTTTTCACAACATTAAGGTAAATGTAGTATTTTTTAATTTTTAAAAAATATACTATTCGATTCACTTTATGACTTTGATCAAGCAATGTTTATTATGAAAATTATTTTTGGAGTGTCATTCAAAAAAATTGTTTTTTAAAGATTTCAACCATGTCCAACATTTTAAAGCCCTAAAATTTACCATTTTCTAGATAACATCCAGCCTGATTCTAGCAATGACCTCTTAGGTGACACAGTTTCCATGAGACTTATCAAATATCAATCATTGAGGTTTTTTAAAACTTAAGTGTCACCATTCCTTTATATATTATTTCTGAAAGGTTTATTTTGTCAGAATACCATCTTTTTTTTATTACTTCATTAAATCCAATGACTGAGCTGTCATTTTAAAGAATATCTTATGAAAAGAAATCTGATGTGCGCATCATACAACTTTTACTTATGTCGTTATCTTTTAGCAGCAATAGATGTTTTCAGGCAAAGGGAAGTGAAAGATACGACGAGATATCAATTATCACTAATGGGTTCTACGCTTATGTTATGGGGATGAAAGTTTTTAATAATTAAATTTTCTTCAAGAATATGTATGTATCTTATTGTATATATATAGAGAGAGAGAGATTTAGATTTATAGAAAATTAGAGCAATATAATAACAAATATTATAAAAATTAATTTTTTCTTCAAATTCTTGATATATAAAGATATAATTGATCTTACTTTTGAACTGTTAAAGATAAACTATTAAAATAATGTATATTCTTGAAGAAATTTAATTACAAAAACTTTCTTCCCTATGACTTAATTGTAGAACGAAGCAATCATGACTTGATTGTTTCGTTCTACAATTAAGTCATAGGAACTCTGACTGAGTTCGCTAGTCAAATACAGTAAAAAATATGAGATAACATTTTTTTTTCCATATTAGCTGTAGTTAAGGATGGAAATCTCAGATACTAAGCGAGGTAATGAAAAAAAGTTTATAATCAATCACATTGCAAATTTTATTACCTTTAATTTTGTATAGAATGTCTTTGTTGATGCGATGGATAGTTTTCCTGATATATTGGATGATAAATATTCAGGACAGTCTTTTTTTAAAAAAATGTTTTTTTTTTTAAACACTGCTTCCTGAATATTTATCACCCATGATATGTAGAACAGTCCACTAACTTCTTTCAACAATTTTCCTGATATAAGCGAAAACCTGGAAAACGGCAATAAACATGAGGCAAAATTTTTTTTTTCAAAATTAGCCATAATTCAGGACGGATATCTTAGAAACTAAGCGAGATAACGAAAAAAGGTATATAATCATTCATATTGCACATTTTATCAACTTTAATTTTGTATAAAACATCTTTTTCGATGCGATGTCTATTTTTGCTGATATAAGCAAAAACCTGCAAAAAAAATTACCTTCTAGGCACCCTCTCCAACACATCTGGCTCACCACCTAGGAGTGGTGGAGGCGTTTTGTATGTTTATCTCCTTACTACTCCAAACAATGTCCCAAAGTCAAAAATTGTTTCCCGTCTTAAAATTATTTACTTGTTAATTTCAAATAATGTATTTTGTAATTTAAATTAGAATTATCAATTTATTATTATTTTAGGTCTTTCTTGTGATATTCAACAATGCAGCTATTGGTATTGTAACAAGCTTCTTTTTACGTTACCTCAATTCAATTTTGAAGACCTTTGCATCTGGGCTTGAACTTGTATTTACTGCAATTTTATCTAGACTTCTTTTTTCTATACCAATATATTTAAATACAGTGTTGTCTATATTTATTGTTACTGTAGCAACTGTAATATACAGCCAGAATCCTGTAAGTACTACTAAAGTAACTGGTAAAAAGGATCGAGAAAAATTGTTGGATAAAACAGAAAGTATAGTATAACATTTTTTTGTATCTATGAAAAAGTGTTTTTTATTTTATTTTTATTTAATGTTATAATAACTAAACTAGTTAAATCCATTTATTGCCTGTTTTAGTATTTACTAATGTACTTTTTACATATCAGTTAAGAAAAAAACTGCTTATTTATAAATCAGTATTTTTTTTATTATTCTACAATGTTTGCTAATTAATTATATTAATTGTATTCAGATAATTATAGTATTATTGTTTGCCAATGAAAATAATAGATTTGTAAAATCTAATTTAAGTAAGTTATACTTTTATTTATTCTAATATTAAATTATTTTTGAGAAGTTATTCAGAATTAACTGCATGCTTTATTAGTTAATAAACTTTGGTTATGTAATCAATTATCATTAAGAAACTATATAATGGTTAGTGATTTTATAAAATTCATTCACTAGCCATTTAACACTTTTTTTTATTATTCATTTAACTAATAAGAACTTTAATTTTAATTATGGAGAGAAGAATAGTTGGGGTGATCAGTCAAATAAGAAGGCAAAAATAAATGATACTATTTATTTTGACATTAGCCGACGTTTCGACCTGAAGTTCAGGCCATCATCTGGGCTAAGAAAAGAACCATAACAAGGTATGAGAAACATAAGTAGTGTAGGAAAATAAATTAAAGTAAAATTCAGTTGTTAGAATAATGACAATAGTAAGAACAAAGAGATAAATGATAATAAGCGGTACAAAGTGTGGAATGATGAAGTAAACATAATGAAAAAAAAAGTTGACATAAGTATTAAAATGTGAATCTTAGAATAAAATGTAAAAGCAGCAAAATATGAAGTTATATAAGAAATGGAAATAAACAGTAAAATTAAGATATTGTGAATAGAATAGTTAGATTTTGCTGTTTATTTCCATTTCTTATATAACTTCATATTTTGCTGTTTTTACATTTTATTCTAAGATTCCCATTTTAATACTTATGTCACCTTTTTTTTTTTCATTATGTTTACTTCTTCATTCCACACTTTGCACTGCTTATTATCATTTATCTCTTAGTTCTTACTATTGTCATTATTCTAACAACTGAATTTTACTTTAATTTATTTTCCTACACTACTTATGTTTCTCATACCTTGTTATCTGGTTCTTTTCTTAGCCCTGATGATGGCCTGAACTTCAGGTCAAAACGTCAGCTAATGTCAAAATAAATAGTATCGTTTATTTTTGCCTCCTTATTTGACTGATCACCCCAACTATTCTTCTTTCCATTATTCACGACAGTCAACCATTTACCAATTATAATTTTAATTATCTTCTTATATAATCTGATCACCTGATATAAAATGCAAGATTTTTTTCTGTTTGATGGTGAGTTAATTGTGATAAATCGATTGTTCAAATAATTTATGTATTAATTTATAGCCTTTATTGAAGTATTAAATCAATGGGTAGGCCATAGAACTTTTTTATATAAGTCTACTGCCAGTATTTATTTCAAGAACTCAGTCTCATTTATTCTTGTAAGTATTGACAGTTAATATAAGAATGAGTTCCTTTCTATACTAAAAATTTTTGTTGTTCCTATTATACTCATTAATAAGTATAATTTTAAATGTATGATACGAACATTGAAAGGTCTTCTTTTTATTTATTCATTTTTTTGTTCACATTATTAATAGCTCGTTGATTTATTATGTATCTTGAATTTGTTGATGTTACTAATTTCCTATACTGTATATTAAAGACATTTTTATTAAGTTCTGTTAATGTAGCATTATGTTGCAGGATTATCTGTAATATTTTATTTAGTCATGAATTTTTCATATACAGTGGAATCTCAGTAGATTAAACTAATTGCTACATGGAGTTGTTCGAATTACCCAAAAGTTTGGTTTATAGAAATATGCTCGAGGGACTGGCTTTAAGTCTGTTTGTGGCAGATAATTATTTATTCTGTTATAATATGAACCATGATTTGCTGTCGACAAATCATCTTGAGGCATAACTGTTCTCTATAAAGTGGGTGCCCTTAATGGAGGGAACCTGACCGTTAAGTGTGATATTGGTCAAATCACGTCATTTCATGACTGTTGGCCTAGAAACAGTACTTCCTTACCGAGTACTGAACCCAAGACCCTGAAAGATTCTAAAAACATTCTTTTTTATGTTCTCTCTTAGGATCTTATTTTGGTGTGTTAAACATTTGAAGGTAGTGGTTGACCGAATGTTATTTCACTACTTTGAATGTAGATCAGAACATTTATATCCTTCCTTGTTCACTGCATATGCTTATTTACTTCTGGTCAACTTATTCGAGCTGAGATTTTTGGATTTTTAGCTTGTTTTTGAGTTTTATGATTTATTGTTTGTGCTAATAGTCTTGCTGACCTTTATTTAGTGTATTTAGTTCTGTTTACTTTTAATTTTATTTATTATAAATTATTTTTTATTATAAATGTCTCAATGATGTTTATATTAACATATATGCATTGGAATCATTCTAGATGATTAGAAACTATAATTAATTTTGATTAATTGATGCTTTGCCCTCTTGTCTTCATCTATATTTTAATAACCTTTTAAAATTTAAGAAAGATTTTATATATATTTTGTGTGTGTTTGAATTAACATGAGGCCGATTTAACTTCCTAACATGAGTTGTGCCAGAAATAAGAAATATTTAAAAGAATGTTTCTATTCAATACAAATCAAAGAATCTAAATTTATATAATACTAGGGGAGTACCTCCTGTCCGCATAACGGTGGACCAATCCCGATTTTTCAAATTATACAACTGTTCATTTAATTGCACTACTATTTGCTCAACTTATATAACTTTCATTTACTTCTATTCTGTAGTTCAGATTGTATTATTTTTTATTAACATAAAAAACTATTTCACGTACAAATTCTTAGTCTAAAAATCTTTATTTTGTATTAGGAGAGGAGGAGGTAACCGGAACTGAACACTTATTTAATTAAATGAACAGATGTATAATTTGTAAAATAATTGCCAAGCTCCTGTTATCTCCTATGATCCTAATACTAAAATAAAATAAAATATGAAAGTCACTAAATTTTTTTTTTATATAATAGAGATAAAAAATGAGTGATGGTTATCAAAACTTTCCCAGAGTTCAAGTCCTTTATTCCATTTATAGCAAGAATTTTATTAAATAAATGGAATATTAAACTTCTAGTCAATTAAAATGATTTTTAACAATATTTTAAAATTTTATTTAAAACTTCAAGCTTAATGTTTAATGATGTGCTTAATTAATGTTTCAAAATGATGAAAAGTATATAATTTCACAATTAGTGTTATCAAATCAATATTTTTTTTTTTTTTTTTTTTTTTAGTAATCTATAAACATTTCTACCGTTAAATCAAAACTAATTTAGTTACCATTTTATGATACCTTCTAACTATACCAAAGTTAAACCTTACCAAGTACCCAAACCATTTATTAAAATATCTTTAATTTTTATTAAATCGCATAAAGATAAAAATAAATGTTTTATGAAAGAACTGTAATTTCTATTTGATTGTATAGATTTAAGTTATGATTTAAAATTTTATTTAATTATTTATTTGTAAAATGAAATCATCAGTATATTTATTTTATAACATATTTAAAATAAACCTTTTACAGTTAGTAAGTTATTGACAAATATTGTGATTTATAGAAGATATGTTTATGTATTAAAAAAAAAGTTTTATAATAAATTGATGGAAATATGTTACTGATTTTATCTAAGAACCCAGACCCTGAAATATTTACATCTGTATATAATTTGCCAAAGTTCGATTCTCCAGCAATTGGTGAAATTACCCTTTATGGCCAACTTCTTGGAACCAAGACGCAAAGCCACCAGGTGGCTGCTTTTCCTCATTCTTTTTAAATGATTTACATTATTATTTACTTAATATGCTTCAGATGATGAACCTTCAGGACTAAGTACCTTCACACAGAGATGGGCAAATGCTACTCTGAGTACCGAGTACGAAGTGTTTTCCTCAAATTGAATCACTATTGGAAATTCATTCAATACTTCAGTAAATTGTTTGAGACACCAATTTATGTAGTAATTAAATTCTTTGGTACTCAAAAAAGGTCAGTATTTGAGTAAAATGCTTGGTACTCAGTACTCAAAGTAGCATTTGCCTTTCTCTGCCTTCACATGAAGTTATTATTACTGCATTCTACCCACCTCACTAAAGATGGAAGCAAAGCCTGCTATCCATATTAAATTATCTTTGCCTAATTTACTATCAAACCATGTTTATCTAAATGAAATAGTAATAGTTCTTATTCTAGGTTATTAAAAAAGTCTATATACATAAATACAGCACTTAATTCCAATTCTTATTATTGGTCTTATAAGAATGTTTTTGTTACTACTATTTATTCCAATTGTAACTTTGATTTATTTATTAACTTGTGACTTGAGTTGGCTTTAAGGGGTCATTTATAAAATGCACATTGAATGTCTCAAGGAAAATTCGTCTTTTGAGGTATTAATGTCCTGTTCCAGGAACTTTTCAATCAAGGGATCTCCAGGAATGAAGAAGACATGGACCGTACTGAGGACCTTGACCTAGAAAAGGTTAAAAAGCCAGATATACTTGATGTAGAAATAGCCCTATTGGTCTATTTCAAAGGAGCCTATGATTCTGTTGACAGGAGCTGTCTGGAAAATCATGACGACTGTGAGTTCCCGGTAAGTTGGTGAGATTGGCAAAAGTGTATACAAATTACTCCAAATGTAGAGTCCAAATATAAGAAGTATCTGAAACCTTCTAAGTTCGAAACGACGTACGTTAGGGAGATGGACTATCACCAATGTTGGTCAACTTAGCCCTGGAGAACGTAATAAGAACAACGTCACAGGGAAATGGAGGGCTCTGAGTCCGAATGAATCATAAAATCCTTGGGTGCAAAGATGATATAGCTGTTCTTGGAAGTAATCAAGAGGACATTGAGAAACCCGCTACGACTCAGATAAGAGAGGCAGAGCAGATCGGTCTACGAGTAAATGAAGACAAGACAAAATATATGATAATAAGCCGAAAATCTTATCCCAATAACAAAGTCTGCATAGAAAAACTATCATTCCAGTAGAAAAATTGAAATACCTCGGCTCCACAATAACCTTAATGAATGACCAACGGACAGAAATATACCAGCATATAACTAGCACAAACAGAGCTTTCTTTTATCTTTCAAAGGTATTGAAATCCGGAAAAATCTCAAATTAAGGGTTTATAAGGCTATGATAATTGGAAAGATCTGGGATCAGAGTGCTAACAAATGGAGAAGAAAGACCAATAAAGAAATGCTTACAGAAACTGAAATACTGAAGAAATATTGAAAATCAATATCCCATGACATGAAGGCAACGAGATTAAGATGGGCGGGGTTGTAGCTCCTAGTAATCCATATGGAAGTCTCTACATAACAATGAATGCCTCAATAGAAGACAAAAAAAAACTATGAGAAATACCAAACAGCAGATGGATAGATAGAATCAACAATAGAGCAGTTTAAAAATTCAAAAGATGACAGGTTCTGAAATAAAAATTAACTGTCGCATGCAGTTACTTGGAGGGGGGAGAGGTAATGTCCCTACGGGTCACAACAGTTCAGTTCATAATGCGCATCTACCAGAACAGTACACTTGTACACTACAAGTACTCTAACAACATGAAGGCGGGGTGGCCGAATGGGCTAACGCGTGCGCTCAGCACCGGCAACCAAATAACCTAAGTTATGAGAAATATAACGTACGAGTTCGCGTCCCGGTGACGGAGGGAATTTTAAATTCCTCACCCACCGGCCCGGAAAAACCCTGTATAGCCTATAAGGCTAGGTACGGAAGAACAAAAAAACAAATAATAATAAAAAAACTTTTAAACACAAAACGCACACAAAGGTCACTAACATTACACACCTTAGGATTGCCTTCCCTAGGAAGCCACTCCGGATGGAGGAGCGCGTTCAGAGGCTCTAAGGAGGCAGACCCTCCACTGAACACGAAGCGGAGGACGATAATCCACACTCCTTAAAATCAACCTATCACGAAGCCAACAAACGTTGAAGCTGGACTGAAACTAAGGCAACGACCCGGCAAACGTCTAAAATATATTAAATTAGGATTCTGGAATGTACTGAAGTTATATAGACTTGGAGCACTTCAAGTGCTACTAAATGAGCTGGACCAGTATCAGGTTGACTTAGTGGCAGTTCAGGAAATCAAATAGACGGCAAAGGAGTTCTAGAAAAGAAGAACCATAACATATAAAACAGCCGCCAAGAGAAACTCGTTACGTTTGGGGAAACTCAAAGATAAAATTATTGATTTTAAACCTATAAATCCTAGAATATGCTACCTGAGGGTGGAAGGGGAGTTCTATAATAATAGTCTTATAAGTTGCCATGCACCTACTAAAGAATCTGACGATGAAGGGAAAGATGAGTTTTACGAACTCCTTGAAAAGACTATTGATGAATGTCTGTAGTGATTTTGAATACTTTGCGAAAATTGAACTTATGATAAAGGCTATGATTAGATAGTCCATTAGCGGATCCAGGATTTTTTTTTTCGTCCTCAGTACTCCTCTCCGGGATCCACTAGTGCCTAGGTCTCGATCACTGGGATTTAATGGAACAGTCAGTCTGACTTTTACGATTTTAAGTTTAGAATCGCTTTTATTAAAGGGAGTCGATGTACCGCATGAATAACGGTCATTCTGTATTGATGCGCTTCGAAATTAAGTCCAATTGTACATATCTGAAAATGTGTTTTAAAACCTCCTACAGCCCTACACATACCTGGAACCTCGAAAGGGACCTCTTATTTGGGGAAAGAAATATTTTTTATTTTATAATAATACTTTATAGGAGACGAGAGTCCTAGATTTACGGTTAGGAACTATGCGGGTTCGATTCCCATCTGAGTCAGTAAATATTCATTATTCGGCGTCACGGGAAGCTGTCAGGAATGCCAAGTAGGACCATAAGGCCTGTCGAACAGTCTCTTCAATTATACCTATATCAGTATAAGAACTTAGGATACTCAACTTGAAGTCTGTATCTCGAAGCTATGGCACGGTTAAAAAATACACAAGAGACTTAAATAATTTAAATTAAGAATAACCCATGTACTTTGGTCTATTAGTTGCATCACCGAAATTCACGAATTGATGACTTCTTCTGCTTAAAAATAAAGATAAATTTTATTGATGATAATCATATTAAAAATAATTATTCGAAGTAAATAAAATTTATAATTCTAAAGATAGCATTCTTCGCCAACGATAGTCGTAGGTTGCCATATAGTTCTTCGTTCTCTTTGTCTGATTAGGTAAGATTTATAACCTTATCACAATATAGGCGTTATTTTAGGCATGACTTAAGTATAGAAAGGAAATACATATTCATTACTTTTAAAGTATTATAGATATGGCAAGAGTCACACCTAGTAAACTGCTTAATTTCATTAGTCCAAAAATACATTTATATTCTAGGGTGTCTAAGGAATCCTGGTATAGTCCTCTTCCAGTGATTTATTTAGAATTTGAAAATATTTATATTGGTTATTTTAATTGAAATATTACTCTCTTCTGACTTTCAGTAACTTACCCATTGTCACAGCATTGGGGCAGTCTTTTCAAATCAGAGAAAGAAGACCTGCAGCACCTAAACCTAGATTTCCTTTATGGTTTTTGAAGAAGGAAAGAGTGGTATGACTTATTGAGATTATCATTTCTAATTCAAGTATTAATGTAGATGTTTAATCCTCATGAGGAAATTTGAAATTTAATTTATGGGATTCAAACTAAAATTTTATAATAAATGGAATAATATTTATTGACCCATTATTGATCTGGCACTATTTGTAAAACATTTATGTTACTACCGTACCAATGTTACTCCATTTTCATATCATAAATGGGTTCTTGAGAATGGCGGGTGAGAGTGCGTTCAGAAGTATACTAAAGTGACTGACCCATCTTAGTAAGGAGCCCTCACCTCTACTGAAAAGGACCTCTTCGGAATTTAAGTGAGCTGGAATCAAAAGCAGCAATGTAATTAAAGCTAATTAATGCCCCTATTTTAACTGAAAAGAAGACCAGTTGGGAGGTCATAAATTGCAAGCTGTGTAACGGAAGTTATGCTGTGAACATTTCAATCCTCGACTATTCTCAGAATCTCATTTATACCGCTTCTGAGAGATCTTGGTGCACTGGAGAAGGAGTGACATTTGTATAGTGGTTTCACATTTACTAATTTATCTGGTGCATTAATTTCAATTATTATCAGCAAAGTTATCTGCCATCCATTAAAGAGATTCTTCAGACATATAATATCTCATTGATTTTTTTTACATCGTATTTCAGTTTGGTAGGTAGGGTGGTTTAGTATTCATAAAAAAAAAAAAAAAAAATGAATATACCAAAAAAGGTTGTCAGTGTAACTGTATATATAACTATGTATCTACTGCTATGTTATCTAAATTAAAGATATACATTGAACTATCTATTGATCATTTCATTCACTGATAAAATACTCTTTTTGTTTTTGATCCGATGAAAGATTGGAATTAGCTTTACTTTATACTCTGTTATGATAATCACTCTGTCATGATCGTACATCACTATGGTACAGACCATTCTAAACTGCACTGCTATTATTATTATTTTTTTTTTTTCAGCAATATAATGAATCTTTAACTGTAGACAATAAAAATTTTATTAAAGAAGTTTCACATGATAAATTCGGACCACCAGCTATCATTAGTGGTCTCTCGACTTATGACACACCGAGCCCATTAAAAGAGCAACCGCTAGTCAAAGGAGAGTGGACAGAGAATACGAAAAGATGTGGATTAATAACGAGGAAGATTGGTTGCTATCCAATGTGGGATGTGAAAGGACGACTTATTTGGTCAACCCTGTTACAGGTACAACCTCAACCTCAAAGCTGTTTTGGTTTAAATTAATGATTATTAATGTAACTGGTAAAAATTGAAAAACAGTTTGCATGTAAATTATTCCTTCATAGCTGATAACTACTATCAGTCTGTCCAATTATTAATGATTAAATTATTTTTTGTTGGTTGTTTTGATGTTTTAGGTGCAAAACACCTAGGTCTTAACATAAAATCATGTTAGTATTAAAATATTTAGCTGGTCGGTTAAAAAATAAATAATAATGATAAATACCTAGTTCAACTTGAATAAATAAATAAAAAAGATTATCATAATAATGATTACTAGGGGGATACCCCTAACGGGGGAGCAATCTCCTGTTTTACAAATTATACAAATGTTTATTTAATTGTGCTACTCATTTTCAAATTATATAACTGTAATTTACATGTATTCTGTTGTTCAAAATGTATTATTTGTTTTCAATATAGTGTAAATAGGAAAAAAAAAATCAAGTCATCCCAGAATTTTAATTTGTTGAGATTTGACATGCTCACTAAAAACATTTTAATGTTATAAAGAGAATCTCATCATTTTAATTTGTTGAAATTGGAAAATAAAATATGACTAAAAACTTGTTTATGCAATAGAAAGAAAGAAAAAAAAAATCTATATAAATATGAATTAATAAAAATTCTGTATTTTGTAATTTATATATACAATTACAGGATATAAATATAAAAATAAAAATGAAATAAATAGAAGAAATTAAAAAAAGAAAAGCGAATAATAACTAATAATATACTGTTAGAAAAAAATGGACCAAAAATAGTTATAATATACCTATAATAAAAAAAAATCTGATGCGGTGCTTGCATCACACAACTTTCAATTACCACCCTCCTAGCAGAAATAAATATTTTCAGACTAAGGGAAAGTGAAAGTAAAATATATAGATGCTATATTTATTTATATTTCATTGTAGATGTCTTTATTTGTTTAAGTATCCATATATATACAAATTTTAATATTTATATCACTAATCTATACGATTATATATTAAATAATACCAAGATAGGATTTATGAAAACCGTGTATGTATATGTACATGTACATATTAGTGCCGGTGTTCGTGTTATATTAAGCTAATCTTACGTATGGAAGCCTGTTCTAATGTTTCGGGTGAGCTCGGGTAAGATTGGGCATGCTCGTATTGCTTTGGTTCCTCCATTACAACTATTTTCTGTTACAATCTCTTATTTCTTCTTTATTTAATTATCAAATTCTTTCATATTTAACTATTTCTTATATTAGAGATTAATGGGAAACGATTAATTGTTTCAAATAAAAAAAAATTAAAGGTACTTTAGGGGAAGCTAATATTGAAAATTAGTCATTTAGGTCCGGTTAGAGAACATCAATGAGAATGAAACCTGTATTATATTAAAAGCTGCTTAATTTTATATGGACATAATGAATTTAATCAAAATCATTTGAGCCGTTTTTGAGAAAATCGTAAAAATGTATTTAATCAATGATATATAGTGCCATTTCCGGTTAGCCAATTTTGACGAAAAAGTTGCTGTAACATCCCAGGTATATTAAAACCTTAGATATACAATTTCACTTTCGTATGCCATTTTGTTTTTGAGCTAGGTAAAAAACTGTTAACACACACACACAGACCGTTTTGCTGGACTTGATAATTTGGACTTAGGAGACCTCAAAACATGTATTTCCGTTGATAACTGAGATTCAAAAATGTTCACGATCACAAGGGTAAGTGAAAGTAAAAATGAATAAAAGAAAATTATTATATCTCTTTTATTTAATGTATGCTAGTAAGAAGTTATATTATTTCATCAGGTCTATTACTGTTGTTCCCTAACGCTATAGATTTTTCGTAAGGAATCAATCATCATTTTGGAAGCCAATAGTAGTTATGTAAATATTTTTAGTATTTTGCTCTTTTATAAATAAATATAAATAGTTGCTGTATTATATTAATAACATGATTTAGTTATACTGGCTTTTCTCAATTATCAATTACTGAAACTTTACCTTGAACCTTTTAGATGTATAGCAAATGATATATTACACTTATATTAAATTATTACATTTAGCGATAAAAATCTTTATTTCAGGTAGTTGATAATCATGTTGTTAGTTTTATTCCATCAGAAAATATTAACTCAGAAAGAAAAAACAGAAAGGCAAAAAATCCTTTGGGAGCTCTTCTTATTGGTGCTGAAAGTTGTGATCCACAAAAGGTATTTATTGTTTTGTTATAAGTTATGTTGTCAAATAATTTTTTTTTGCAAAATCGTGCCACTGAATATTAGTGTTAATAATTATTACATTTATTATTAATTAGATATTATTTGCATTGTAAACTAGTAGACTATTACTAAAGTATTTGAGCACCTCGCATGGAAAAAAAATTGGATATATTTGAGCTTCAATAGAAGTCAAGTATTAAAGAATTTATATAATATTGAGACTTTTCAGATAATATAAATAGGTTCATATTTAGCTAAAAATTTGAAATAACAATATGTCTAGGTGATATAAAGCTCACTGTAGCGAGACGTGTATGGTTGCCAAACATGATACTGTCAGATCTCTCTCATCTCTACTTTATAAATACTAACAAATACATCCTAAAATTAGAAAGGTTTTAAGGATAGAAGGGTGTGAGAAAAAATTAATATATATCTTGGATGGATATTATGAAGCTAGAAACACTATTCTAAGCTAAAAGTATAAGATACTCAATGATATGAGCTAGGAGCTGGCTGACCAGAACATAGCTCTGCCTCCAATCTTAGGTCTCCTCCATCTCTTTTCTGTAAGCCTAATTATCTTTGCAAATATTCATAAAAAAATTTGGGACTTTTTGAAATTTTTCATCAAGTACCCAACTTATATTTGATTAGTGTTTAAGATGGACAAATTTTATCTTTTTGAAATATCATTTTATTCCAATGGAAAAAAAACAAAACAGGATGCAGAACGTTTAAGCAGATATGGAAGTATATTTCCTTAGGATGGATAAAATTTCCCAATTTCTTTAGTTGTTTTTTTAAAAATTCAAATATTTTTTCCAAATTGATCTCTGCAAATTTCTGTTTGAACCTCATGGTCTTGTGATACCCATTTTTTTGTTGTTAAATATTACATTTTTAAAAATGAATTTATCATCGATTGTTACAGTTATTTCCCAAAATATATCATATTTTGGTTTTTGAAGCATAGTTTGGTACTTTTTGTCTCGCCGGCACTGACTGCTATCTGCCAATGTTTATAACCTGAACACTGATAATTCCCATAACACATTGATAAGCCTTCTCCTACTTCATATCTTTGTATTATTGTATTAAATTCGTATTATTGAAAGTGTAAACAGATACAAAAACAAATGTGATAACAAAAAAAATACTTTTATTTTACGACATATATTATATTCTTATATTTTTATATTATATTCTCTATATAATATATTATATATTATATTCTCTCTTTATGCTATATTCTCCTTTATTTTTATTTTTATTCCTACTAATTTTCCATTTATTTGTATCTTCTACATATATAATTCTTAATATTTAACTACATTGTCACCCACTATATCTCTGATACCCTCTTTTATTTCTGTATCTGACAACTTCTTCGTATTTTATATATACTTATATTTATTTTTTTATTTTCAACATGTTTTGTATCTTTTGTAGCCCTGAAGACGACCTGCAAAGTGGGTCGAAACGTCGGCAAAAATTAAAATAATTTATATATTTTAATTTTTTTTATTTATTTGACCGCACCCTCGACTAACTCCTCATAATAAAAAAACACTTGAAGAACATATGTAGTTATATAATATATATAGATATGTTAAAAATGAAATCCTGGAGCCCTCCAACCATTTTTCTTTCCTTATTGAAAGTTTTGAGTCACAAGTCCTACGAAAGCATCTCCATTTGGCGTTCCTGGTTAACTTCATTCGATGACCTCGTTCACTGTTCTTCTAAAGACGGCAAATTCCATATTCTAGGAAGATTCATAATATGACGAAAATAAACGGGAAAAAAATGAAAAATAAACACAAAGGGGCCACAAACTAAAAAAAAAACCGAAAAATAAACACAAATGTGCCAAAAGTAAAGAATTTAATAAGTGCACGTAATAAGAGAATAACTGAAAACTAAACAATGCAATAACTCAAAGGTTTGGCGGGGTAAGAAGAGGGAGGTTATGTTACTTGACGTTAGATAAGATAGATAAGAAGTGAGGTTTCGTGCCGGCCCACTAGGCAAAAAGTACCCATAGTTTTACTGATGTCAACTTGTCGTTGAGTTTAGGAGAGTTGAAAACTTAGAGGATCCAATGCAGGTCTTCCTTTTTAGACATTAAGCTTTTATTAATGTTGGCTGACCATAGCATTTGAAAGTTTCGTTTCAGACGATTATCCTTGAGCGGTAGCAAACATATACTGTGTTACGTTCCCTTTGTCAACATAAATCAAAACAACGAGTTTCCTTTTTCAATATATTATTTATTTTAACATATAACATCAATTCTCAGGTTGGGTTCTGACAACTGAACACTCATTCAACATTTAATAACTACAATGTACACTAATTTACTAATTACTAACTACACTTATTTATAATTTAAAATATTTTATAAAATAATTTGTCCCGGTCTAAACTTTTGGTTCTATCCCTCTGTCAACATAAATGGCATTGTTAGCACTCACCCAAATGTTTAGGCCTGCCAGTGAAATAATCTCTTCTTACTTACGAATGTCCCGTTTTCTGTACCACTTAATTATTTTCTGCTCTTGTTTTCTTTCAACATAAAATAATCTTCACTAGTGGCCTCTATCAACACTCGAACCGGCTAGGACTCCTTTTTCTATTTTCTCAACTTGCTGGCTGGTACCTACTCTCTTGACAGCTTGTCACATTTTCTCTTGGCGGCTCATAACCTTCTCTCTTGGCCGCTATCACCTTCTCCCTTGGCGGCCCGTCACATTCTCTGTCTGGCGGCCCGTCGCAGTCTGAGTTACATGAGGCTTGCATCCCCCACTTCCTTCCCGTAGTTCGCGCCGTTGCCACCCTCGCGCCACTATTCAAATGCCATGTAATGTTGACATTACAACTGATAGACTCAAGTAATTCAATTTAAAAAAAAAATGTTTAAATTTATTTTATTAGCTTTTAGAAACTAGAGTAGAGAGAGGTTTAGAGTGTCACGTTTAGCTGCCATGCTCGTCATACTATTGTGGGCTGAAGCTGCACTCCCAGTCCCCACCACACCTTCTAGACACATTGTTAGTTCAAGTTTTTAACTAAATATGAACCATTTTATATCATTTAAAGTGTATAATCTCTGTCCTATTTACGTACTTTGAAACAAACTCTATTCTATACAAATTTATACAAATTTTTTTTCTATTTTGGTACCCAATTATTAGAAATGGAGGCCTCAACCTGCTTATAACCTAACCCTCTACTACACCTTACGCCTCCTTAAAACCTTTTGTTACATCTTTATACCTTCTCACTAAGGTGTTTTCCTGTTAGTTTTTGAAAGGGCCCCTTTGAAAACAACTATGATATCAAATCAGGATGTGAAAAGTCTTATACCTCAAACAAAATACTGATATTTTTCACTAAATTTTAAAACCTACACGTATGCCAAATCATGTGTATATTTTATAGATATAAAATAAAACTTATTTTATGCACAAAAGCTTCTAAAAGCTTATTAACTTAATAATAATGATTAACATCCTCTGTTCCTTTTTTTAGTATACTAAAGAGTATTGTGGTCTGTTCGCTGGTGCTGGCCTTCCTCCTAAAAGATTTCTCTCAAAGTTTTTTATTACTCCTAATGCTAAAATACAGCCGGGTACACCTCTCTATGCTACGCATTTTCAACCTGGTGATGTTATTGATGTCGCAGGAGTGACGTAAGTTACTGATGGGTCTTTCTCTAATGTAATGATCCGTTAATGATAATTGAAAATTTGATAACCTTCCTATTTAAAAATAAAAAATAGACATTTTCAATTAAAATATCCTTTATATAAATTACAATTTTTTTGTAATTATATAATATTATTAATAGTAGTCCATGTTAAAGACTGCTCTTTATCAAATTATTAACATCTACCTGAAACTTCGTAAATCTTTCATCTCATCGAAACCTAGAAATATTTTATTTAAGAAAATTCTCGGAATTGGGTGTTTTCAATCTGGAGGTCGACAAACTTTGTCTATTTAATTAGGTACTAATAACTCGTACCCAATTGCTTTCTACTTGAATTGTAAGATAATCTGAGCACAAAGTTGAGAAAAATGGTGGCCTTCAAAAATATTGAGCTGTTTGGCCTATATAATCTTGTTATTTTGACAATTTGGAGGTATAGGTCATGCCAAATGGCTCATGACTTGTGATGAGATGAAGATATTTACAAAGTTTCAGGTGGATGTTAATAATTTGGTAAAAAGGAGTCTGTACCACGTACTAAAGTTTTTAGTTTTTTATTTATAAATCTTTCATAAATTTTAACAAAAAAGTTAGTGCTTTAAAAATAAGAATTGAGTTGAATTAATTAAGCAGATAATTGATTATCATAATGATTGGAAAGCCCATTGTAAACTTAATATAAAAGTTTATTTAAGCCAATAAATTAAATATTTTTTCAGATAGGCTTATGATGTCTTGATGCCAATACGTTCGATTATATCTAAATTAAAATAAATTATGGGACGAAGCAGTGAACATTTTGTTCTATTATTAATAAAACTTTATTTTACTTTCATACTTCAATTTATTTTTGTTACTTTTTTTTTTAAACGTACATATATATGTTTAGTAAATAGTTTTGATGGCTAATCAATTTTTTTTTTTTACAAATAAAGCTTGGTTTTATATCCATTTTGCTGAAAATTTGCACTTCTTAATATTGTATATAATAACTCTGGTTGTTGTAATCAAAATGCTTTATAAAAACGATTGGTCATAACAAAGGAGTTGACTTTAAGTCTCTTCAAGGTTGTTATAAATAATATCAAGTGTAATAAAATTAATTATGATTCTAGATTACATCACTAAATTTCTTACCTACAATAATCAAAACCAATTAAAATTTTATTTTTACAGAATAGATAGAGGCTTCCAAGGAGTGATGAAAAGGTGGGGATTCAAGGGAATGCCAAAGTCGCATGGTGTTACAAAGACCCACAGGAGAGGAGGAAACATTGGAGGAGGTGGGGAAAAGGCCCGTGTCTGGCCTGGCACGAAGATGCCCGGTCATATGGGCAACAAGCGAAGAATATTAAGAGGATTAACAGTAATTGATTCAATAATAATATGCTTTATTTATTCTTTGAAGTCCCTTTAGAATGAAATAGAATAGCAGAATTTTGGGGTTTGGAGTACCAAAATTACATTAAAAAAAAAAAAATTAACCATTAGAAGTAATAAAAAATTATAAGTTAACTTCCAACGTTAATCAATTTAAAAAAAAAATGAAAGAAACATGAAATAATAATAATTAAAAACAAACTAATAATTTATATACATATTCACTGAAACACCTATTTTTACAATTTTTTGGGAACTGAATGGACAAGAAGTGATCTAGCAGACAGGTTTTTAATGTGTGGAGGTTATTGGAACAACATATGTAGGAAGGGATGGAGTTCCATAGGGATGAGGATCAAGCAATGAAAGATCTATTGAAATCCGTGGTATGGTGTGAAGTTGTATATAAATCTGAAGACTAGGAATGGGTATTTTGAGTGTGAACAGAGGATTTGAATTGAAGGAGCTTGGAGATCTATGAGAGATGTTGGTACTAGATTACTTGGAAGAGGAAGAATTTCAGGAAATACTACAGTATGAAGGATAAAGCAACTTCAACTCTTCGTTATGAAGGAAGATGAATCTTACAAAGCAATTTATCAAATGTTTTAGTTTCGCCTCGAGATCCATCCACAAAGACTCCTCCAAACACCGGTGTCTCTATTAAGTATAAATTAAAACAAAGGACCGAAACTTTTACTACCACATTTTTTAACATGTTAGCTGCTGAACATGATATCTCTTGAATGTCTTTCCTGCCAATATCGGTCCCCGGCAACCGACACTAGTTATGAAGTTCCTAACTGCATCAGATGTTGGAGACCTACATCATTTTCAAGGTTTATCGCTGTCTTTTGACAACAAAGGTGAACTAAATTCCCTATTCAATGTCTCTATCTGTTGATTGTGTCCTCATTCAGGGCCAGCAATCGTAGGAGTGGACTCCGATGTCCAGTGCCGTTTATATGACGATTGATGAATTGATGTTAATGATATTGAAAATAAAATGAGAAAACATTTACTTATTACATATAATCATAATTTTCATGATATAATTTATACATTATTTGTGTAATACTTTTTCAATGTAAAGATAAAAATTGAATATAAAAAATCAAAGTTACATTATAAGTACCATATTGTGGCAAGAAAAATATAGGTATTTGGGTATTGATTATTACCTGTATTAATTTATTTTAAGAAAAAGAAAACTGAAAGTGAAGCATTAAGTTGTGAACTGCTTGTGATACTGTTTGAAGTGCAGCAAACAGAATCCAGACGTACCATCACAGTCCTCACAGAAACTAGTGACTTTCTGTGTTTTCTTATTTGTCTCATTACTTCCTAGGGTCTTTCTCAGTTTTCTATAGCATTCTCTGCACTAGTTTCACTGTTTTCTTCCCTCACCTGAAGGCTTGATAAAAGGATGGACACGACACATCAGTTGTGGTGAAGGTGGTCGGCGCTGAGTTGCGAGTTCATCAGCGAGAACTTTGTAATTGATATGGATTTTTCATGTTCATGATCCAAGAGTTGACCACCGATGTTCCAAACATTATCTCAATCACCATGCATGTACATTGTTCTGTCACGGCAGAAATATGTGTGAATGTATGTATTACGCCAGGGGATGATAATGTAGGGAAATAATTTTTTATCAGTCTGGTACGGTATCGGTCCCCGCTTTATATCAAACCACTTTATATGATTATTTACATTTGTATCTTTACATCTATCACACTCCCATTCAAACATGTTTAAAAAGACCATTTTAGAGATTTTGTAAGATAGGCAAAACATATGATTAACGGCAAAACATGTGATTAACGGCAAAACGCCTTCCTTGAAAACATGTGATTAACGTTAAATAATATTAGTTTTTGATAATTATTATTTATAATTTTTTCGCCACTCTTCACTTTTCAAGAATATATTATACGTATACCTACTTACTACTATTTCCGGAGATTCATTTTCGACCTAGATAAGCATTTTTATTTTTTTCTCCTTATTCAATAATCAAATTCTTTCAAAAGTTATATTTAGCATTTTTTCGTAACTCTGAATAATGTGAGATAATTAGTTGTTTAAAATAAACCATATTAAAGGTATTTTAAAGGAAGACATATAATAACATTGGGCATTTAAGCCTTGTAAAGTGCTTATAACCTCCTGATTAGCCAATTTTAAGGAAAAAGTTCCTGTAACATCTAAGGCATATACCTATCTTAATATCAGTTTTGTATGACTTTTCATTTTTGAGCTAGATTGTACACATACCCACACACACACTCACAGACCATTTTGGGAGACTTTGTTATTTGGACTCAGGAGACCTCAAAACATGTATTTCCGTTAAAAACTCAGATTCAAAAATTTTCACAATTGCAATACTTACCCTTACTATATATTTCATAAATAGGTAAGTGAAAGTAAAAATTTGTAGCTTACAATTCCTGAAGTTTGCGAATGTTAATAATTTGATGAAAAAGTTATCTTTTTATTTATAAAATTGGAAAAAATATATATGATATGAATTTATTTACTTTGAATACTTGGGCTAGAAATGAGGAATCACACTGGTTAAAAGAATGCTGTTTAGGACAAACTTTTACTGTTTATGGTTATCATTAATAACAGTTATCTGTTCATTTTTTCATAAATATAATGTTTCATTGAATTAAAATATAATCATTATTTCAGATATGGAGAATTAACACGAAGTATAATGTCCTTTATGTACAAGGTTTAGCAATACCTGGAGAAACAAACTCAATTATAACAATTTTTGACACCATTCTTCCTCTCAGGTTATTTTCTCATTAATCTTTTATTCGCTAAGTTATGATTTTTACCTATTATAATTACTTATGATTTTATTATAAATTTATATTCATATTTCATTTAAATATATTTATATTTTTAAATAGAGCAGAGAAAATCAGCCTACAAGAAAATGAAGACAAAACAAAATATATGATAATAAGGTGAAAATTCCACCCCAATAACAGGATCTGCAAAGAAGAAAAATCATTCCCGAGAGTAGAAAAATTCAAATACCTCGGCTCCACAGTAACCTCAATGAATTACCAACGGGCAGAAATAGACCAGCGTATAATTAGTGCAAACAGAGCTTTCTCTCTTTCAAAGGTATTGAAATCCTGAAAAATCTCATATTAAGGGTTTACAATGCTATAATTAAGCCAGTTCTAATATATGGATGTGAGATCTGAACACTAACCAATGCCCGAGAAAAAAAGTATTGAAAGATTTGAAGAGGAAAAACCTTTACATGATTATTGGAGTGATCTGATATCAGAGAACTAACACATGGAGAATAAAGGCCAATAAAGAGCTGCTGATAGAATTTTTGAATTTTTTTGCTTACAGCATGGAAACAGAGCAATCAACATCTCATGATATGGAGGCACGGACCATATAGCTCTGAGCAATTCACCTGATTACAATGAATGCCTCAATAGAAGGCAAAACACCACATGGAAGGCCAAACAGCCAATGGATAGCTAGAAACAACAACAATGATGCTATAGGGGGTGCAAACAGATAACTGGAAAGCAATAGCCCAAGATAGATGTTGGTATATATATATATATATATATATATATATATAATAGGAAAGAAAGAGCAAAATGAAAAGAATATGGGAAGAAAAGAAAAAACCTAGAAGTGATTTACGCGTGGTCCATCATTTGCCTGTATTAAGATAAATATATATGTATTTCATTTAATCGTCCAAAGACAGTTTCTGTCCACAGAATCAGTAATGAAAAAAGAATGGTAAAATTCACAATTTAAAATTGTCCATTTATGTTATTCACAATGTTATATTTTCTGAATGGACCCGAAAGCTATTATATATTGGTATTCTTATTAGCCAAATTAAAAACCAAAATATTTAATGAAAAATTTCTAACAACTTTTCAATAACAGGATCAACAGTTGTTGATTTGGTGACATAGTGTGAGGTAGTTGTGACGTAATGGCCATATATTTTATAAGTTTTCTCTCCTAGTACTCCTGAGCTCCATGGAAAGGTCATACAGTCCATTGTCAAACGTGGTGATGGCTTTTTCATTTCTTCATCTTCTTTAAGTTGGTTCCTATGATATATACATATTAATAGTAGACATTTTTGTTTTATACATGAATTATAAAAATTCAAGATCTATCAAAAGTCGTCTTTTTGTTGTAATTTCATAAATTCTGAAATGATGTTAACATATAGTTTTTCTTTATTGATATAATACTAATATACTAATATTAATAATGATATATATATATTTACATAATGGAATTAATTTGTTAAAGTAAACCTAAAGAAACAGTAGTATATATATATATATATATATATATATATATATATATATATATATATATATATATATATATAGAGAGAGAGAGAGAGAGAGAGAGAGAGTATAGTATATTTATACAAAAAAAAACAGATTTTTTCGATCTTTTTGGGTTTTTTTTCTATAACTCCTAATCGGTGAATCAAAGCAAAAAATGTTATCATTAAGAAATTAAAGAACATAAAATTGAGCGTCAAACAAGTACCTAAACATAATAATTTGGATAAGTGGTATGGTCGATAACCATAGCCAACAAACACTGATTTTTACCAAACTCGTCAAAAACTGAGACAAATTACAAAAATTGTCCTGAAACATGGAAATGAGTTCTCTAAAAGAAAAAAAAACTCATAGTCTAAAAGTTGTAGAGCATCAAATTCCGTATCCACTGAGTACCAACAGTTTTAATGTAGGTCACTTACTCTGCTCGAAATTGGTATTGAATAGCGATGGCTGAAATTGGTAATGAAGATATCTGTGATTTTAAATATTTTAACAGTATGGGTTTCTGTTTTACTGTGTTATTCTTGTTAAGAGTATAATATATACAGTATAGAACTCTTTTATGCATCTCAGTAGCTTAGGATTTTGAAAAACGAATTTCATGAAGAAATAACGAATTCCGATTCTAGTGGAGGAAGTGACCTACATTAAAACTGTTTGTACAACTTTTATTCTATGAGATTCTTTCTTTATTTTCACTTTTTAAGAGTTTAAGATTAAACAAAAAAAAGAAAAAATCTGTCATTTTGGGCTAAAAAAAGTTTTTCCTTGGTGGCCAAGTTTATTGATTTTGCTTTTTACATTTCTAAGCCAATATATACAAGTTAAAAAAATAAAAGCTTTTCCCACATTTTTCACAAGTAATTTCCCGTTTCGGTTCTCAATTTACTGGCCTAATATTCTTTAAATCAGCCACCATTTTTACGGGTACCAAGATTTGACTGACAGACTCTCATTTTTTAAATATAAATGTTACAAATATTAAACAAAATGCTTTCAAAGTTTTCATCAAATAATGTCAATTTTTTTTTTTTTTTGCACGGGCTCTCGGACTATGTCCTTGAATAATTTCTTTTATAAACTTTATCAATTTACTAAATTAATGAATTTTACTTACCCACTTGAATTATTGTTGGTTTGACAATTTGTATTTAAAAAAAATAATGAAAAACAGTAACAGAATAGTATCTTCATGAAATTTAGCCTTGTATTAAATTGTTTTTATTTACTATAGTCAAATTATTTTAACTTTTGGTTATTGAAAGCTTAATTGGTTATATGTCTAAGAATAAATTATATTATTTGAAAAAAATGTTATAAACATCTTTTTTAACTGTTATATTAAAATATAATTCTTTACTTGCATTAAGTTGTCATGGTGAGCAAATGAATTGTTTTTTTATTTATCCAAAACATGTGTTGGATATAACCAGAAATTGGATTTACATATATGCAGATATTTTTAAAAAAAAATATATATATTCTTCATCAAACATTAATTAATATGCAATTAAATATACAATTATTGTTTATGTTATATATAAATGATAAACCTTGAGACATTGGTTGTTGGTTCTGTGGCGCATTTAGCTCTCATCTAGCATTAAAAAAGAGGATTCCTGTTATCCTCATTTCACATCAGCTGGCAATCATATTCAGAAAGAAACAATATTTTCCTTTATTTCAGTGGATTGTTTTAAAAATGTGCTTTTTCAAACACTGTCCACTCCGCTACTTTCAGAAATTTCCCTTCTAATATTTGCCATGCTTCTTCCTATCCTTATTCCAACACGTTCTCACATTCCACAACGTGATATTTTAATTCAAGACAAACAGGTTGTTTAGAAATAAATAAGTGAATTTTGTTTCTAATTTTTAATTTTTAACTTTAGAAATTAATTCATTAGTATTTCTGTACCATTAACAAACCTTGGAGAATATTGCTTATTATCGGTTGTAAAGTCTTGGTTTCAGTAGTTTATTTTAACATTTAAATTTATTTTTCTAAGGGTGTTCGTTTATTTGATTGCAATCTCCTTTTATTTATAAAATTTTTAAATCTTTCCTTCTTCATGACCTTTTTATTTTTATTTTTTTTATTTACTGTGATATTTATTAGTCTATTTCACCTTTTAGATTGAATTCAATTTTATGTTTCAGAATTTTAATATTCTCTGGCTATTTTTATATCCACTGTAATTAAATTGTGAAATAGTGTGTCTATTGGAGAAAAAAAAATAAAAAGCACATCACAATACAATGACCATGTATTGAATAAGTTTTAAAAAATGTTAAAAATATCTGTACGATTTCTCCTGCAGAAGTTAAATTCCAAATTTTAATTTTTTAAAATTTTATTATAAATACGAATAAAAAAATAACAGAACTTATAAGAGATGTTAGGGAGCAGATTAGCTTTGTGAGTAAGCAAGGTACTGCATTTCTGTCTTCCAAACCCAGATTAATAAGCCTTTATCAGAAAATTATTTATTCTGGTTCATCAGCTGTGGATCAATTGAGAGACCATTCTGTAGCATGCTCAGTCTCTGATAAGTAGGTATCATTAACAGAGGAAAAACCTTTTATTGTAAACCTGACCAAAACATTTCCTTGTGCAATCAACCGTTGGTCTAGAAACAGAACTTCCTTACCAAGTATTGAACCTAATACTCTTTGAAGATTGTATTGGTAAAATTATTTTGTTTTTAAATATTTTAATTTAATATTAAATTTAATTAGGGGAGTATAATAGACGTAACTCTGGGCTTGCAATGCTCAAGGTTTCTGGTTCAAATCCGGCTGATTGCAGATAAATTATTTATTCTGTTTCATTGTCCATGGATCGACCCTGGGGTCGGGAGAACCTCATGTAGCACACCCAGCCTCTATAAACTAGGTACCCTTAATTAATTAATTAAGCAGAAAAACCTGGTGGTTGAGGGTGATCTCGGTTAACTCACCTTTTTGCACAACACTTGACCAAAAAACAGTACCTTTCCTACATAGTTCTGAACCCAAGACCGTTCATGGGTTGTCGTAGTGCAGTTTCTTTTAAAATTAAATTTAATTAATAATGTTTTGTTGAATTGAATATATTCTTTTTATTTATATCATTTACTCTTAAATATATACATGCACATTTAATACATGAATTTAATTGAATATTATAGGAAGAAGAAACAAGCACCTGCATATTTTCCCACATTCTACCCTAGCGATCTAGATGATCCACTTCCAGAAGATCTTTATGAAAACAGCGTTCATCATTTCGATGCACCAACAATTACATTTGAGGAGCCAAAATGAAGCAATATTTCAAATTTAATAGTAATTTTTATTTTTCTTGATGGTTCTAATGTTAAATAAGAACTACACGTTAATGTTTAACAACCAAAAATTGTAAATACTCTGTTATGATATGTTCAGTATGTAAAAGCAACTGTTTAATAAAATCAATTATTAAAATATAATCTTTTAATTATTATAAAAATATTATGAAAAATCCCGAGGAAGATGCTGGATGAATGGCTATGTGAACGACGACAGGTCGGCAGACAGAAGCTGCGCTGGGCTGATGGTGTGGCAGAGGACCCTTGGTCCATTCTTGGCATACGGAACTGGAGAGGAGCAGCATAACAGAGACGACTGGCGGTCTCGCTACCTTATAATTAAGAAGAAGAAGAGGTGTTATACAATACACAACTTCCACTTACCAGCCTAATTTCAATAGAAATTAATTTTTAAAAGTTAATAAATCTTAAGAATATTTAATTACTTATAAATACAATTTCCTATGAAAATTCCATTTAGTTTGTATGGAAACATTTATTTCCTGTTCAAAGCAGACATTATTAACTTTCCCGACTTAGCCGAGACTCGAGTTCTAAGAGTTCGGCTATGGAAGGGTCGAGTCATGGTTTGAACCTTACCTGTTTTCCCCATATGTTTATTAATGAACTTATTAAATTGCTTTACAATCATCATTATATAAATAGGCAAACACAAATCGGTTCAGCCCCTTTTACTCCTCTATTATTCAACCTATTTTCTTCCTTCTTTTTTTGTTTAATAGATATTGACGAGCTTTAGTGTTATCAATAAATAAAAATATTAAATAGTATGTAAATAAATATATAAATGGTAGTTTGTTCAAAACGGCTAATTTCCGAAAGTTCTTCACTGATTTCTTTTAAATTTTGATATAACGTCGCAATAATATTTAGAAGTGTCTTTGTATATGTTCCATTATCATAAGGCCTTTCCTTTCGAAATGGCGGCCAAAAAACATGATTTGCTTTAGACTGTAGCGCCAATACGGCTTCTACGATTTTAATGAAACTTGGCTAAAGTCTTCCCTTTGAAACATTTATAATTTATGTATATGACATACTTTCCCCGAAAACAAGGTGCATAATTTTTATGATGAATTCATTATTTTATTTGTGAATAACTCAAAAAGTACACATTTTTTTATTGATAATACCAATATTTATTTGAAATCTTCCTGAATTCCCTACAAAATAAAAAAAAAATCATCGAAATTGGACCATTTGTTGCAGAGATATATCATTTTAAACATTTAGTACTTTTTCTTTTGTAAATTCGATTTCCTTTATTTGGTTTTTGATAAATCGAAAACTTTTAATTTATTGAGATAATTGGGACTATTATTTGAAGAGATGATATTTAATTTTATATGAATGATACCTCATAAATTAAATTTAAAAATAAATTCTATAGTTATACTCATTGTTAACTTAAATGCTGCACAAGCATTAAATTAAAGAATTAGTTAATAGAACACGAATGAGAGTGAAGTTCTAACGGGAGAATTAAATTAAAGAATTTTAATTCCAAGAATTAATTTAACATATTCTGATACAATACTTACATTCGACTTTCAAAGAACAATGTTCCTATTAATAGGCGCATTTGCTATGACCGTAATCAAATCGCTGGGTAAAAGTTTTGGAAAAATGTGTGTATTATTGCGACTTCCAGTAATTTCGCATGGACAATTATATGTGACAGCAAGTAGAACATGTTCATTTAAAATATTGAAATTTATATTTTCAATGGCAATGGGCATGGCTATGCACTAAACAATAACAGAACATTCAAAAAGTACATTGTTTACAGAGAAGTTCTGAATAAAATGGATTTAAAGTGAATTGATATAGTTAATTTAAATTTATGTTATACTTGCTTAATCACAGCATTAATTTATTATGATAGCACACATAAATTAAAATGGAAATTAAATATTTTTGAATGAGTCTATTTTGTATCACTTATAAATAATTTTAAGTAGCTTAAGCTCGATTTTTAATTGAAATTGAAATTTTGTTTGTATTAATAAATTAGGATTTTTGATTCGTGATTTACTCTTTATTTATTTAATTTATTTTTTATTTAATTATATGATGTAGAGATGGTTGACCGTTGATATGAGAAGGAGTTAGTCGGGGGGGTGCGGTCAAATCAATACTAAATTAAAATATAGTAATTATTTTAATTTTTGCTGACGTTTCGACCCACTTTGCAGGTTGTCTTCAGGGCTACAGAAGATACAAAACATGTTGAAAATAAAAAATAAATATAAGTAGATATAAAATAAGAAGAAGTTGTCAGATACAGAAATAAAAGATGGTATCAGAGATATAGTGGGTGACAATGTAGTTAAATATTACGTATTATATATGTAGAAGATACAAATAAATGGAAAATAAGTATGAATAAAAATAAAAATATAGGAGAATATAGCAAGTAAGTTAAAAGTAAACAGATTGCGATAAAAGATAAGGAATAAGTGTGTAACAAACTAATAGAGATTACATTAGATAACTGTGGGTTAACAGATAAAGAAAATGAATGTTAATGAATAAATAGATTGAAAATTGAATAAGTATTGTTACAGTAAAGTTAAAATAAGAATAAGATAACATAATAATAAGATATCAATGGATAACAAGCAAGTGGAGGTTACCTTTAATTGTAAGTAAAGGTAACCTCCACTTACTTACAATTAAAACTTACTTTAAACGTTACTTTTTTATTTTCAACATGTTTTGTATCTTTTGTAGCCCTGAAGATGACCTGTAAAGTGGGTCGAAACATCGGCAAAAATTAAAATAATTACTATATTTTAATTTAGTATTTATTTGACCGCACCCCCACTAACTCCTTCTCATATTTAATTATATGTTTTCCTCAAAGTTTTAATGGCTATGGTCGAATTTCGACCACTGGGGGAACACTAGTTTTTATAATAGAGTAAACTGTTCGACATGATTTTACATAAAAAATGGTTGATATTTTGATTAGTGCTTGTTGAACCTCTGATTTGTCAATGGGCGTTTTCCTAGTTAATTGTCTCCTCCTTTTTATCAGTTTAGTTTTTTCTATTAAAATTGTAAGTATAGTTCCATTGATATATTGACTGCTCACACACACATATCTATATATATATGTATATATAAACTAATATATTTATGCATATATTTAATATCTCACTTATTAGGTTCACAAGATTAGTTTGTGATGTAACATTTGTTTTGGGACTGGTGCTGTGAATAGTTAATAATTAGTAGTATTAGCTCCCTCGGGCAATGATGTCATCTCCCTTCGCTATAAAAATTAAATTTATTTCTTAAGCTGTTATATATTATGTAATATTTTAATCTTATTGCATTCAAAATACAGTTGTTTCATTGGTAGGCTAAAATTAATTTAATCAATATATTTTGTGACTTTTTTTTTATTTCTTACAGGTCCTATCCTAAGGCCTCAACACTGATAATTAGTAAATATATATGTAGTTTTTAAAAGTTGAATTGATTTTGAAATCGTTTGTGAATAAAATTAACTGGTTACATTTGCAAGGGTCGATTATTTAAAAAAACATTTTTTAACCTATTTTTGTTTTTATAATCATATTTTATTCAACCGTAATAAATTATTGTTATTTCAGTCAGAGTGCATTGGTAATGAAGGAATGCATAAGGGGAGGATACACATACTTGACATACCAACTATGTCACTGCAGTAATAATATACAATAAAAAAAAAACTAATTGTTTTATAACACTGTATTGAAATTCTAAATATCATATCTTCATGGCAAATACTAAAAAAATAAATCATGGAAATTATGCTCTATAAATGTCCCTAAGCGTACACTTCTTGATCAACCACTTTATTGTAGTGATGAAGAAATTCTTGACTAGACAATATGGTTGGAACATTAGATTTTGGGGTGCAATCAAAGAGAACACAAAATTATAAATTTTTATTTATACGGTCTAAGTTAGGGTTTCTATGCCTCATGAGAGTTTGAATTCAACATCCTCACTCAACTCAAACACCCATTAGGTGTAGGGGTTCTAGTTAAGGCGTATAATTTAGTTTGTAACGTCATCACAAAATAAAATAAAAATCTTTAATTATTATTCTTGTTCTCTCTTCAATCCCCAACCACTTCTCTATAGTTATAGTATGTAACCAACAATTAAAGAAAGTATTTAAACATTTTATTCATACTTTGAATAGCATATGCTGATGAAAAAAAAATCATGCCCATTAAAGGTTTAATATCTGAATGAAAATGCTTTATACAAATCATAGCCGCAGATTTGGATCAATTTTCACAGTAATGATAATTGTGTTATCCTTCATTTGAAAGAAAATTCCGTCTATATTTTCACCCATTTAAGGAAGGATTATTGAATCTTATTAATTTTTAATTTTACTGTTCTTAATAAAAAACAAATAAGGATAAATTAAGACCAATATATTATACAACAAAATTTTATTTATACATCTGTAAATGAACTATTAGGCCTACATTGAATGACACACAAATTTACACATTTGCTGGACTCATTTCTATTATTAGTTTTATTTTAACATTTTATCTACAAATAAAGGATAACAGAATATATAAGAATTTCATGAGCATTTGGAGTTTTTAGAAAGTAGTAGGTTTGATGAAACATTAACTTTTAATTTTTTAAAATTTTATTTTATTTATAAATTAGATCTGAATGAAAGGTATCAAAAATGGAAAGATACAGTTTCAGGAAAGCAAGGGTGATATGTTCCAGAAATCTCTGACTACTAGAAATAAATGCCATTTAAAAAAAAAACATTTTATGTTATATGGCACTGTCAAACATGAACTCCTGCTCGTACAACACTTGAGTTTTTTTTTTTAAATCAAAAATACTGTTTTCTATTCCTTCATTCAATATTTATATGCTTAAACAAAAATAATGCAATAGAAGTTTTCACAAAGAAAGAATAAAAGTGAAAAAAAATATATATATAAAAACTAACTCAGAATACAAATGTACAATATTTAGGCCACACATTTATTTCAATAAAGAAAATACATTGAAAAATCTACAACTCGAAAGTTGATAAAATGTAAAATAAAATATACACTTATAAATGTATGAAGACCTGGAAGGTTTTACATAACTGTTAAATTATACACAAATTATTTTTTACACTATAAACAAGTTTAATATATATGTATATATATATATTTATTTATAAACTCTTCATTTTAAACTTAGATTCATAATATGAACTCATTTGAATAACAGTAAAATCACAGTTTTCACATTAAAGGAAGTTTTGAGGCAGGACTTTAGAAGCTAACAATTAAAATGTCAGCTGTTTATAATACAATCATGATCCTGACTCATTACTGTATATATATACACTCACTTATACAATATATACACTAATTACATTTTCAGAAAACCTAATTAAAATAAATAATCTGCTTTAAATGCTGTTTTTCTTAGTTTTTTTTTAAACTATTAAATAATTGTTTTATCATAAAAAAGTAAGAATAGATTTTAACAAAGAACACCAGTTAGAAAAGATAAATAGTGAATCATTTATCAAACTTCAAAATTTCTAAGTTTTTGTATTTGATATGTAAGAAATCTAGAGAGTGATTTGAAAAATAAAAAATAAATTTGTTTACAGTGTAGAAGTTTTTTTTTATTTTTATTTCTTTGGCTTGATCTCAGAGATCTTAATATATATATTTTTATTTTATATATTTATTTCATTTTTTTTTATACAAAAATACACAAGAACTACCCAGCTTTAGAGAAAAATCTGCATTTTCGAACCTGTGAAATAAATATCTTTGTGCTTCAATTTCCACAAAAATATTACAAACCTTTGGACATTTAATATAAACTTCATAGTAGAACATAATGAACAGATTTACAGCTGTTTACACATAATGAAAGGGGTACATTTAATGAGAGCACTGAAGTGTGGCTACGAGAACAGTTTCACAAATTGTTTACAAACAGGTGTCGTTATAAACAATAAAGTGACACAGAAATAAGTTAGCTCTTTTTCTAGTTTGATAAAGTTTAAACATTTTTGAAAAAAAAATTATGTTTATTTATTCAAAGTTTTAATTTGAAGATGTTTTATTATTGGACTATTCGGTAAGTTTTATGATCGTTTAGAATTAGTTTGAAGTCAAATTTAACATAAACTTATTTGTCACATTCAATTAAAATATATTAGGGTTTTGTAACTGTTCAGTATATTTACTAACTTGAATTCATGAAAATGCTTTTATATATGTCATTTAATAAAATAAATAGATATTTCATGGTAATACATTATTTCAAGAAAATTACTAATGGAATACTTTTTTTAAAGAGAGCTATCTATTTCAGTTCCTTAATTTTATTTTAGACTCAGTTCATAACCACACTTCAAACACTAGTTCCTAGTCAAAGATAAAAATCACAATTTACAAAACTTTTTTACCTGCTACTAGCTACCCTCTCACAGCGTAAGGCAACGATCAGTGATCTTCAATTCTAAATTCAAAAACACTACACTTATTTTTTAAACTCCTAATAATATCAGTCTCAAAATTCGAAAATGAAACACGACAGGCTCCATATTTAATAGGAGCAAAATAGTTTGATACGAACAGTAAAAACGATCATTTGGGAGAGAATGAGCACTAAGTGTTAACATTAGCAGAGGGGAAACGATATTATACATGCGTGGCTAGAGACGCCCTCTTGACACCTTGCGGCTGGGCGGCTGTGATGTACTGCTGTGGACGCTGGCCTGGCAGGAGGCCATTCCTGGCTGAGTAAGGTGGTGGCGCTGGAGTTAGTGGAGGCGGCGGGGGCAGGTTGGGCCCAACGCTGCGCAGGTACGGATTTCCGTAGGCTGCGGAGAAGCGAGGGTCCACCTGCGGGGGGCTGCTCGTCACAGGTGGTGGAGGAGGGTTGTAATCCCTCGAGTAGTCCACATATGGCACATATCCATTGTTGTTCTGCCCGTCCTAAAAAAAGTTCACTCTAGCCACTTACAGTTCATAAGATTATCAACATCCCACACCATGCTTTTTTTTTTCTTTAAAACCCAACAATCACAATTATTCAAAACATACAATTAAAACATTGGTAAGTTGTTAACAATACAAATTATTGGTGATTAGTAAAGTTAATTGATTTTCGATTTCTCTTTAAGCTAATGTTAACTGGGTGCTTAGTGCTCAGAATCGTGTGCAAGATTAGTTGTGTGATTAGTACGTAATGCAAGACAAATAAACAACAAAAGTACACATGCTTTTTTTTTTAAGTTTGTGGGAATTATAGAAAAAATAAAACATGCAGGATAAAAAAAAAAAAAAGAACCATTAACTAAGTCAAACTGTAAGTATTTGCTTATTCTTAAAGTAAAAATGATTTGAACAAGCAATCAAAGAAAAAAATATTTTTAATGGTTAATTTTGTAATTTTTATCCTTTTTCAATTATACAATATAAGAAAATATTAAAAATATCTAAATTGTTTCATTAACAATTTAATAGCAGATCACCAGCAATTTAACAAATATTTCTAAAATGATAATAAAATTAAGAAGTAAACTGTTTGTTTTCAATAAACTCTATAAACATAGCCATTATATTTTTTAAAAATAATCATTTTATGATGAAAAATATTTTTATTAAAAATTAAAAAAAGTATTTTAGGGCGTCGATTAAATTAAATTGCAAAATACCAAGGTCAGCTTCACTATGGGATTTCTTTCACTATAATTGATTTTGAAGTTATTATGAAAGCAAAGGATAATGTTAGAAGAAGCCCATTTTTGCAGGTTCTTTTCTTTCTGTGAACCGTTCTAGGCACATTTGTTATGTATTGCAATGGTATGACCTAATTCTTTTTTAATATTTTTCAATATTATCGATTGATTGATGAGTATGCTGTGTTATTTAGCAACTCAACACAGTTGAGCAGTCGTGGAATTTTATTGTAGTTCTCTTTAAGTCGTTAATTATTAAAAAAAAAATAATTTAAGTTTAGAAAATCTACTTTGTGGACTTTGTTTATAATTAAATAAAGTTGAAAGAGAATGACGATTATGATTTGATTTTTTTTTTATAATTAAGCAAAATTAGAAATTTAGTTTATATGTTTTAGGTTAATATCATAATGCTATTCTGTTCGGGCTGTATCATCCCTTTCCCAAAATTGTAAAATATAACAATGATTTATGAAAAAATAATTATATATAAAAGTATTATTGTTCATGTAATTAGTTACATTTAATTAATTAATAAATTTAATACATTTAATTAATTACATGTAATTACATTTAATAGGACTTCAAGAATCTCTTAAACACCATTTCACAAACGTAGTTAATTTCTTTCCATTTCTTCCACAGTAATTATTGTTATATAAATAGAAAAAAAAATCTATGGGGCATAAGCCCTCCCAAAACTGAATCCTCGATCTGCTACTGCTAAGGTTCAATTTACACCTCAAAAACGCATTTTAAAACTATGTAATGAATATGTTTCAGGACTGTGCACTTTTTTAGCAATTTATTTTTAAAATATCTATTATCTTCCCCTTAATAATCATTTTGGAACATTCCATTGATAATTTATGTTTAAAAAGAAATGACTTTTTTTCAATCAAACCTGAACTATAAAAATTATTGAATTTGATTATTTGATTTTGCCAATTTTATATATATTTATGAGCCATTCTTGGTCCCAATAAGGTCGAATGTTCGACGTCCTATGTAACTGGAAAGTTAATTAGTCTAAAGTCAATGGAAGACATATCTCTAATACTTCAAACTCAGAATACTGACAAAAGTAATTAGTTATTTTAAAAATATAAGAATTATTTTTTGGAGATGTTTTTGATTGTCTTGTTTAAGATTTAAAAAAAAATTAATAATTAATATATGAAGTACATTTATTAATTGTGTTCAGTTGAGCTAAATATACCTTAAATTTTTCATATTTTAAATTTATTAAGTAGTATTCAGTTTAAAAGAATTACAACCTTTTTGGATTGAATATCATGAACCCTCCTTATTTACTGGAGCATTATTTCTTTTTTAAAGTCACGAAAAATGTTTTTTTATTATAATATATAAGTTTAATATGTTTTATTTTTACTCTAAATGATCAAAGAAAAACTTATTCAAAATTATATAAGTTTTTATAGCTGGTGCTCTGGTTTGTTAATTGCAGTAATTATATCATTTACAATTGTTAGTGAGTATAATAAATAAATAATAACAAGAAAACAAATCAACATTTAATAAGAAGTTTATGACTAGAAAAATAAATACTATATATTATATTCTTACAAAAATACAGCCAAATTTAATGATTCACCTTCTGAAAGGCTTATTTTATTTATCTATCCATGCAAGAAGTTTATTAAAAGGTGCATTGTATTATATACAACAAAAAAATAAATAATCAACAGATCTGAGCAATGATTCTTCTCTGAATTTTTTATCTATTTAAATTAATGATTACTTTAATTATATGGTTATATAATAAATATTAATCTTTAATGAATTTTATTGCACTATCCCAATTTTTCAAACAAAAAAAAAGTAACATTTTCATGTTCAAAGCAAAGTTTTATTGCATACTGAATCATAGGCATAACATGGGAAGAGAGAGGAGAAAAGGGGTAAATCATGAGTGAAATGTTAACACTTTCTGTACGGGCTTCATTTCATAAGAATACCTTGCAGAGGAGTCCATATTAATTTTCAAAATTTCATATTATAAAAATTCACAAAACAATTTTAGGCAGTCGATTTAAAAATGAAATATACCCATTTAATGCTAGAAGGGTACTGAAGACAAATGTCACTGAGGGGAGTAGAAAAATATTTATCCCCACCATGTATGTACGAGCATCATTAATAGGAACGGGATAGGGAACACAGAGGGCCTTATTCCAAGGACCGTCTGGCTGTGAGGAAAAGACCGTAGGTTCTTTCCAGTAGGGTCATGAGTAATGTTAACAGAAGTTCATTTAAAATCAGAAAACTCATAGGAAAGTCCCCCACTATCTCTCTGCTATTTTAAACCTTTAATCTCTACAAAAAATTAATGATATTTGTGACCCTCCTAAAGTTAGTAGTTGTAAAAAATTTGTGATATATATTTTTATTTTTAAGGAAATAAAAATAGCTTTAATTTGATTAAATATTTAATTTAGTGAATTTTAAAAGTCAGAAATACTGTCAGTTGGCATAAAATTCCTTTAATAAAATTTTTTAATCAGAAGAGTAAATTTGATTGATATGTGTAATTCTGCAGTTGCGATAAAAAAAAAAAAAAATTATGATAAATAAAATAAGTCTTTCAAAATGTGATTTTAACAAACAGACCAAAAAACTATCTCCTTGAGTAACAAAAGATGTTAAGCTACACAAGGTATGCTTGGTAACTTACGTTTTTAGGTGGGAAGACTGGTTCAGGATAGTCTGACGAGGAGTAGCGGTTGGAATACCTATGGTCTATAGGCACTGGTCCTGCAAGGGGAACTCCTATCCGAGTGACAACGCTCTCGCTGCCAGTCTCAGACCCACCTCCTCCGTAGTCAAGTTCACAATGTACGTTACTCACTGACGAGCCAGTTCTGAGTTCCATCTTAATGTCTGAAATGTTCGAAGATCGATCCGATTCTTTACATTGTTTCTCAACGTCAGACTGTTCATTTGAGATAAATCCTGTGTTTACTGTAATCAATATAGAAGATTTGTTAAAAAATTATTTTTTAAATAGTAGAAAATTTAAAAATAATAAATACATCAGTCCTCTTAAGCTTAATAATTATTTTTAGCTGTCAAATGAAAGAATATTCATTTAGTATAGTGAGTAATTCTTACCAGGTGGCTTCTTCACTTTCCTCTGGCAAAGTATAATGACCATTGTAATAACAATGATTACCACGATGCCACCAAGTACTCCAGCCAGTATTAACAGAAGAGGAAATGTTTCTGAAAAAAAAAAGATTGATAGTATTAAATTATTAATTAATTTAAATTAAATCTACAGAGAATACACAATTACTAAATGGGAACATTTGGAAGGAACTTGACATGTTAGAATGGTACCACCATAAACCATAAAAATGGTGGATAAGTGTCAACTATAATTTATTTTTCCTAACCTTGATTTAGTATAATTGATAATAATAACTTACTTTGTGGTTTCAGGGTTATTTCAAGATGATCAGAACCATAGGCATTGATGACTGTGCAATTATAAACTCCAAAATGGTCCTGTTTTGATTCTCTAATGATCATTGTGCTTTTGATACCTTCACTCAAGGGATCTTCTAGAACCTAAAAGAAATGAAGTGGTTAATATTTTAAAAAACAAAGAAAAAAGTTTTTATTGAATAATTCAGTAAAAGATTGTAATAATTTGATAAGCAGTTGAGTAAATGTATTTTGACTTCGCCAGTCCTGTACATCCAGTCATGTACACATCAAATCTCCATATTGCAGCTTGTTTATGAGAACTCAGTATCTAATTGTCTTATCACAACATAGTAAATCATATTTTTAAAAATATTTTATCAGTTTTTATAGTGTTTAAAGTGCTTGATTATTCTGTAATCGGTAAAAGTAGAAAAAATACAATAAAAACAATAGTGATAGCAAAGGAAGAAATCATTGACAAGATTAGTAGAATGGAAAAGTTGAATGATTGAGCTTTTTGGAGGTTGAACTTGTCTTAATGTATTAATTAAAAGAATTGTGAAAAAAATTTATGGGTTCATCACTGATTTCACCAGCAAAAGCAGAAAGGATAATTTTGAAAGAAAGTATCCATTAGTAGCTATATGTATTAAATTTAATAATACACATAAGCAGTGCCAGCCTTAGATATTTGGCGATGAAGTCATCTCCCCAAAAACTGAAATTTATTCCTTTAAGCCATTTTATATTAATATTTTATTTTATATTTATATTTATATTAATATTTATTTATTTTATAAGTAATATTTTTACTGTATTTCATTCAATATGTTCAATAAGTTCAATTGCTTTATTAATAAGCTAATATTCTCATGTGTTTTGTAATTTTTTTAAAAATTCCCTGAGTAGTGGGTGCCCCTCTCCAGACTTGAACATCAGGGCAAATGCCCAGGTTGCCCTGCCCCAAGGCTGAGGTTGCATATAGTATGTTCACTGTGCATTTACCATAATAAATATATAAATATTTAATATCTTCTTATAGTTGTATGTTTTTATTGACCCACCAGTAATCTAAAAACATATTTAATCTGACAACTACTGGTCCAATGTGCCATGCTTGTTATATTACAGATTAGATTATACTGAACTGTAATTATATCATTTTTGTTATATTATTGGCAACAAAATATAATTTTCTTTTGGAAGAAGATATTTTCTGTTGCATATTAGGTAATAATTAAATAGAAGAAAGAATAATTAAGTTAGTAAAATAACTGAAATTCAATAATGAGTAAAACTAAAATTGTTGCTCTAATGCTTACCGAATACTCTTTGTTAGCATCATTATATATCTCTTCTCCATGGTAACTCCACACGACTTTGGAAGGAGGTGGGACAGCATAGGCAGTACATTCTATCCTAACGTTGTCCCCAGGTACACCATACTGCGTTCTGTGCGATATAATGGATGGTTTACCCTTCATGTAGACTGTTGCCTCAGCCCCAATTTCCGGAAAACCAATAACGCTCGCCTTGCAGTAATATCTACCAGTTGTCTCTGGAGTTACTACCAAGCTGAGATTACCAGATGTTCCAACCACCTATAAAATATATTATTTCTTTTATAATAAAATAATCAAAGCTAAAAAAGTTCCATATTGGTATATTTTAATTTCTAATTATTTACACTATATATAATATCATAAGAAAAGGATTTCAGAAAAATTCCCACTTTTTCAGAGTTGATTCAATTAAATATTTATTAAGATTCAAGCTAGATACCGCTTGAAGATAACTCAACTTATTAATGTGGCTCTAATGACTTCTTATTTAATATAATATATATATATATATATATATATATATATATATATATATATATATATATATATAATTTTGTATTCTGATAATTTGATTTCGATATATCAAAAGTTTTAATTTTAATAAAAACTCTTACCCTATCAGTTGGTTCATGAAACCAAACAATATCTGGTTGAGGATTCCCATCCAAATCACAAGTTAGTGTAATCATGGCTCCTTGATCGGCTTGCACACTATGTGGTCGCTTTCGAAACCTTGGACCATCTAAAACAAGATAATTGGATTTTAAAGAAAATAGATTTAATTCCTAATTTATTTTAATATATAATATATAAAACTGAACAGTTTTTTGTTTAAAGCACTAATCTCAGGAAATATCTGTTCAATCTGAAAAAAAAAAATCATTTGAATTAGATAGACTCTTCACTAGCTTTAGACTTTTTATTATCATACTACAATCCATAGGAATGGAGCAGTGATCATACACGTCAGTCGATTTGGAAACTGCAGACAGTTACATTAGCACTGCTTCTCTTAAATATAGTTAGTGGTCACTATAAGGCGCAGGAACAAACTTTTATTATGCATATTGAAGTTGAATTGAATTCCCACAGATAAATTTATGTTGCCTTAAGAGGTTGTGTTTTTTTTATGGTCATTCTTATTTGATATGGTCTTTCTTAACAATGGAAAGAAAGAAAAAGAAAGTTTGCTGTAATGTAAGTTTTATTCAACTATTTAAAGATATTTCATGATTATAGAAAATTTTGATATTATAAAGCCATAAAAGATAAAATGTATAATATGAAATAAAATATAAGCTCTGTTTTATCTGGGTTCCTTTTGACGAAGTCACATTCATGCAACAAATAAATGATGCAACTAAAATTTGTTTTTCTGGCTCATCAATGAAATAACGTAAACTTTATAATTTTTTTTTCTTTCGGAGAAGTCTAAGGTCTCATACACTAAAGAAGTATTGGGAAAGAGTGTTATGTTTGTGAAATTAGTAGAAAATTGTAGATATTTTAAAGAAATAATTCAACAGCTATATGGCAAAAGCCTGTAAGAAAAGTTTTTTTGGGAAGTACCAATATTGAATTTTTCTGGACAATTTGGCCTCATACAAATTCAGAAATAAATATCAAAAAAGTTATTAAAACATTTCATATTTATCTTAGACTTGAAATAAAAATTAATCTGAAAATTTTTATTTCACTGATACAAGCAATAGTTAGGGTGAAAATGCCAGACTTTTTTTTTTAGGATTTTATATAATGATTCAGATGTTTTGATAACTCCAGATAAAAAGATTCCACCTTAATGATAACAAAAATACAATGATTTAAGTTTGTAAAGATGATAAAATAGGCTTACAGCTTATATCTAAAGTTTCAGATTCTTCACTCTTCCCAACAGCATTGTGTACTTCACATTTGATTATAGAGTCGTGCTGAGTTCTTGTTACATTTACTAGGTGCAGTTCGGTAACAAGTTCGGTTTCGACTAGTCTTTCATTTATATACCATCTGTAAGTTACATCTGGAGGATTGGCGTCAGCACTACATTTCAGCCGAACGTCCATACCTTCCATAAGCCTTGTGCTCCCATCGATAACACTTACTGTTACCTATAAAAAAAAAAAAAAAATGTCAAAAGAGGATAATAGAAGTTTTACAGGAAAAAAATAGGTTTCTATCTCTTAACTATCACTACGTACTAAGTTATCAATGGTCCATTAAAATTTTATTTTTTAATTTCACTATAAAAATAAACAGAAGTAATCAAAGGAGTATTTAATTTTATTAACAGTAGCCTAAACAAATATTAAAATAAAAATATTTTTAGATCTATAAAAAAAAAAAAAAAAAAAAAGTATCTATGAATTTTCAAGATGAACAGATATTGAAGATAATAATTCATAAAGGAAGTAAAATAAAAAATCCAAAATAATTTAATGAATGTTCAAACAAAGTTTTGCCCCATGATTTTTTAGAATTATCATATATTAGATATGTGCATATTATTTTTAATTCAATTTTAAGCAAAAATATTTTATAATATATTCATTATTTTTTAATAATTTTTTTTGTGATCAAATTATCTATTTTGTTTGTGTTAATAAATATCTTTGCACTTAAATTATTTATATTTTTGGGTTTCCTGGGAATTTTTCAAATTTGGATTTACTTCCTCTAATATCTTCATGCTTAAATTCATCAATGATTGCACTGAGTAATTATTAGGCCTAAAATTGCAATATTACAAATACTGAGAATGGATTTAATAAAACCTCCCTTCCTCCCCACCAGAAAAAAAAAAGAATCCTGGAGTCTGGCAAAGAACTGGAGATCAGTGAATTTCCTACCTACATTCTGGAGAGATTCCAAATATATCTGTAGGTGGAAATAACAGTCTGTCATCCGTCTACATCTCTATGGCAAATGTCCAGGGTCTTCCCAACTAGATGTGCTAACTGATATTTAGTTCTATTCAACTCAATAATTCTTTTAAACAACAGTACTAGCTAATATTTCTGAAATAGTTAGGGAAGATCGGAAAGTTGAGACAATATATAAGGTATTGTATATAACCTAGCACTTCTGAAACAGGTAGATGAGCTAGGAGAAATTACTAATAAAGGAAATACTGCTTTACACTGAACCTGTTATTTCTATAAATCAGTAACAGGTCCAAAGTTCAGTTAGCACATACCTATTACAAAATAACATGTCCAGAATTTCTGAATCATCTCTAGTTTACAGGCTCTTTGGAAATAGTTTGGAAAAGGAAACATACTTAACCTCAACACTACAAATATAATACTAAAATATTTTATTAGAAACATCCAAAATAAAACAAATATAAACAACAAAAAATACATTCTTCTCATGACAGTAACAGAAAAAAGAGAACATAAAAAAGAATAATGGTAAAGATTTTTTTTTTATCCACATCTAATATAACTATTAGTCTTATAAATTAAGACGTCATGATTAGAGAGCATCTATTTGGGATGTGAAAATATGTTGAAAAATGAGGATTTGAACAAGGATAAGGAAATCTGAATGAGGGATGAAATTCCTCTAAAATTTATTAGTATTGTTGGAAGCACGGGCGGATCTACGGGGAGGGGGGAGGAGGGGGGGGGCTTTCGGGAAAAATATAACCATGTTTTATGGAAAAAAATATTTAAAAATACCTCTTAAAGTATTATTGTTCGTGTAATTACATTTAAAAGTACTCAAGGAATAACTTAAACACCATTTCATATAGGTAGTTAGTTTCTTTCTGTTTTTCCAAAGTAATTATCGTTATTTTTATGAGAAAAAAAAAAGGTTTCGGGCTGAAGCCCCCCCCAAAATTAAATCCTGGATCCGCTAGTGGTTGGAAGGGGTATAGAGGTCAGAAAGGTGAGTAGACTGAGGATTTGAATCGCAAGATGCTATAGATCTAGGAAGGGTGCTGGTTTGGTATAGAAAAGATTCAAAGAAATATCGTCTACAGAAAGAAGGCAAGAAAAGAAATAATAGTAAACTTAAGACAGTTCTCAAGAGAATTGACTAAAAGCACTTACCTTTGGAGCATATTTCACTTGAAGCCTGAGTTTTGCACTTCTGTAAGTTCTTTCTGCTTGATTCTGTGCTTGACAGACAAATGTTGTATTATGATGTTCTTTTTTAGGTATGAGTTTTAAAATCGATCTAGAATTGTATCTTCTCTTGTCAGGCATGCTGTCAACTATATTTTCAATATTGTCTTTGAGCACATTTCCTAAGCCATCAATCCATGTTATCTGAAAAATAAAATTATTACTCTTGTAGATTGTGATTTTTGAATAATAATTGAATTGTAAGAGTACACAAATTATCAGTTCAATCAAAGCCTACAGATTTTGTTATGTGTTTGAGTTTTTTATTTTATTTTCAAATTGAGAGAAAGAGAACAGGAAAGATTTTAGCTATACTTATTAGTAACCCCTTCCCATCCCTAAAAATAAAATATTCAGTTTTCATTAGATTATTTCATAGTGCAATGAATTTTATCAGAGATTAACTTCTTCTTTATTATCTATCAATTAGTGACAGCAGAGTATTGTTACAATATTATTTTGTTTATCAGATTTTTTGAATTTAGTACTAATGTCTTTCCATAATAGAAGTAACATATAATAATAACGAAGTAACATCAAAGAAAAACAAAAATATTTTAATGATTTGTCTCTTTATTAAAGACAAGAATTTCAATTTTTTAACACTTTCAATATTAGTATTTATGTTTGTTGGAAACTCTTGATTTTTCAATTATTGTTCTATTAGTTTTCTGAATTTAATATACTAATTATAAGCAACCTCATTATCTCATATATATATATATATATATATATATATATATATATATATATATATATATATATATATATATATATATCATATATATCATATATATATACTAATGTTCATTAGTAATTTTAAACAGACAAATAATTAATATGAAAAAAGAAAAGAATCATAAAATAATTGTTAGGATATGATTATAACACAGGTAAATAATTAATTGGTCAATGTTTTGCCAATTTAGGAGACACGTTCACGCAACAATATTTCTGTAATATTGATAGTGTTTGTGGTGCAGGTTATTTTGGTCTTGATTGATGCCTCGATTGGCAGAACATTGACTGGGTTAATTGTTGACCTGCATTTCAGAGACTCAAGGATTAATGTTTCAAATTTTCCAATTATATTCTAATTAATAAATAATATTTACCCATCTTCAAGGACAATCTATTCTGTTATTGGTATCGGTTAATAATAAAATAAGTTTACTGTTACTCAGAATATTTTTCTATCTATATATACAATATTTTATTATACCTAATAGCCATAATAATTAAAAAAATAGAAAAACAGAAGGGGCTATAAATATTACTAAAAATATAGAAAAAAAAAATTAATTTTAAAACAGAAACTTATATAACCACTATTGCGGACATATAACACAGAACGTTTTTGGTTATATATCATAGTTAAAATCAAACAGGAATATTAAAATGTCATATATATATATATATATATGACATTTTATATACCTGACATTTTATATACCTGACATTTTATATACCTGACATTTTATATATACATATATATATATATATTTAGACTTAACTATTTAATTGGGAATAAGGTCACTTATTAATTATTTAATAAACTATTGAATGTTCATTTCTTCTATGTTTATTGACGTTTCGATTCCGGTATTTTCTTTTTATAAGTCAACGATGGGATCCTCTTCAAAGCTAGAATTTTAAGAAATAGAGCTTCGATCAGGCCAGGGACACACCGACAGGTATGTATAGGTAGCTTAATATATGTGCTAGTGGACGGTGCTGTCGGTAAGTCCCTGGCCTGATCAAAGCTCTATTTTTTAAAATTCTAGCTTTGAAGAGGATCCCATCGTTGACTTATAAAAAGAAAATACCGGGATCGAAACATCAATAAACATAGAAGAAATGAACATTCAATAGTTTATTAAATAATTAATAAGTGACCTAATATTACTCAAAGGTCGATTAAGGAAAAGTTGTAAATATATATATATATATATATATATATATATATATAATAGATAAAATCTTAATAACATTAATCTGATTATATTGTTTCCATTGACAGAATACATCGTCTTTGAAGATGGGTTAGAAACCTAAAATATCTACTAGGAGATAATTATCAACAGAAGAGGACCTTTTATTATTAAAAAAAGGTCAATTATAACTCTTCCTCATATATTATAAAAAAAAAAATGCATAATTTATACCTCTGCTGGTGGTTTTCCACCAAGAGAAATGCATTCCAATTCTATTTCCCTGTCTTCAGTGGTGAGAAGTGACTCCCCTTGGACTATCCTGGGAGGTTCTGGTGGCGTGTAAACAGTCAACTGAGCAAACCTGGACCTCACACCAGGTTCTCCATTTGGACCTGGACCGACCTGGCATTGATATTGTCCATCATCATCCAACATTACTGGGTAGATCTCCAAGGAGTAATCTCCTAAAACAGTCACCAAAATAATTTCAAAATTTTAAATATATATTTTGGAAATATTGTCGTGTTTGCATCATTACATCTTACTTTAATAGCAATTAAAATCTTTAATTGTACATTATGTTTGTGTTTATTACCTTCGTCATCGCTGCCAATCATGGTGTATCTGTCGAAGCCTGGGAGGTGGCGGTGCTGCCCAAGCCCGAAGTCGTCTTTTGTCCATTGGAGCTTACCCACTTTCCCTAGAACCCTGCAGGGAAGAGTCACCCTACTCCCAACAATCGTCGTCTGGTCCTGGGGTTCGATGGCGAACTTCTGTTCGCACCTGCACACCACCGCCAATCCGATCAGTGACCACAGAACCCACATTCTTCTCTCTGAAACAGACAAGTTACCAATAAAAATCACAATATGGATTGAAAGCCATTTAGATCTAAGATATTATTAAAGTTCATTCAGTATATCATTAATAGCAAAATTATATATTAAACAGAAACAGATGTTTAAAAAAATAAGTCATTCTCAGTTATTACGCCATTGCTTACATGAGTAACTGGTGATCATAAGCTTTTTTTCCAAAAGTAGGAATTATTTATTTTGATCCAGAGCTAATAATACTGTAATTCAAATTAGGGCAAATACCACAGCCACACGAAGGTTCTGTGAATATATTTATTTGAATATATCGTATGAATAACAACACGAGTCATGAACCTGATAATACCACCGGCACAAAACTAACAATTTAAAATTTTCTAAAAGTGGATAATCAGCATATAGTAGAACAGAAGTCTCCAAACGTTTTGGCATGCGGACCACATTGATATCTCCATTAAGTTCCGTGGATCATGGTTTGTGATGACAAAAATTTAGATTTATCGATGTTCAAAAACATTGAAAGCCAAAAATCTATATTACAGATATATCGCCAAAAAAATCGATATTTTTATTTACTTTTAGTAATTTAGAAACTTTTTAAAATTGCTAAAGGACAATATTTTTGTTATTTGGTTCATACAGCAATAATTTTTTTCTTAATTAAAAAAAAAAATCATATTACACCTTTACTTAATATTCTCTAAAATAGATCAAAACTTAGTAACTGGGCCTAAAAAGAGCACTGTTGAGAGGAGAAGTTTTGAATGTGTACGACTACAGTTTAAGTTATTTTAAGTGAAATGAAATTTGTCTCCCATTCCACAGCTGCTAATTTCAAAAATTAGGCACAGGCAGGGGTGCCCACAAGCGGGTTTCATGGCCATAAAAAGTTTTGAGGGGGCACATTTTGACAGGGTTATGCATTTTTGAAGGGGGCACATTTCGACTAGGTTATGAATTTTCGAAATGAAAGTTTCAAACAAGGGAAAATGAGGAAAGCAAAGAACAGACCACTAAAAGTGTCATTGCATATGATTTATTATTTTTAAAATTCTATTTTAACTTGCACTGTTTTTAAGAAGATGAGAGCAACAAAATATCTTGGGAAAGGGGGGTGGGAGGTTCATGCGCCATCGATCTTGTGGGGGATGGGCACCCTTGGACACCGGAGGATCGAAACGGCTGTAATGTTGCGAAAAATGTCGTTTCTTTTTTTTAAACTTGTATATGTGGTTGCAAACATGTGGAAAACAAAAAGCCAACAAGGACTATCTCAGAATAACTTATGGAAGCCATATATTCTTCTTTTTTTTCGTTTTTCACTTCTAACTCCTGGTATAGCACTTTAAAAAAATGATAGACCTATGGAAGAATGAATATAGAATTTATATATATATATATATATATATATATATATATATATATATATATATATATTAAATTATAAAGAGAGGTTTAACATAGAAGTCCCATGTCTCAATTTACAAAGGATGCAATATTAAGTTCTGTGAACTCCTTTGCAAAATAAATAGACAGTACTTCATCCTCGTTGGTGTAGTATCAGCATGGCTGGACAGAGCTGAGCTAAAGTTTTATTTTATCCTCAGCTCCAACAATGACCGTCTGTCACTGCCTTATCTGTCGATTTCCTCTCAAAGCGGAACTCGCAGAACTATGAAGTTTGGATGTGATGTGTTTTTCACGACAGAGATCTGTGATTTGGACTTCACTATGAGAGTATAACGGAGAAAAATAGTCTTAGAAAAGAAGAAAAAAAGGTTTATTATCGATTCGATGATCCTTGGATGTATGAAATATTTATTTCGAAGTATAGATCCCTTTTCCTGGTAAAGGCAAAAGAGGGACTGAAAGAAAGGAAATTTTATGGAGAAGAAATATAATCCCAATTTCAGTCCTTAAATTTGTATTAGAACTTCAATAAAAAACAGTAGGAGGTTTCATAACTCAGATTGTACTACGTCGACGTATTAAGACGGAACAAATTGCGCTTTAAAGATTTCAACGCGTTCATCATGACACGGTTAAGTTCCTCAGGAATATATCGAGCTTACTTTTTCCGCTTTAGAGGGACGAAATTATAGAGAATTTCAATTGAATTATTAAATTTAATTAAAGTATCCTTAAGTAAATTTTTGTCAATCGTTGTTTCAGTCAGAACCGACGAGGAGACGTCAGCCGTGATAGCAGCTGCGCTAGGCTGGAGGACGAAGCAATCTCTAAGATGGTTCTTACTGAACCACTTCGAGGCACTAGAAGAAGGGGGAGACTAACACTGAGATAGTCAGATTCAGTGGCGAGAGACCCAAGGGATATCCTAAGCGTCAAGAGCTGGATGACGACTACACAGAGCAGAGATGGCTGGAAGAAGCTGGTGGTGGAGGCCAACATTATATATATATATATATATATATATATATATATATATATATATATATATATATATATATATATATATATATATAAACATATATATAATATATATGTGCATATAAAATATATATATATATATATATATATATATATATATATATATATATATATATATATATTTTAACATAATAATACTCAAAGTTCGATTGAAAGAAAATTGTGAAGTTCCTTTGTTGCATATACATTATAACAAGCTTCAGTTGTGTTTTTAATATTTGATTTGATTTAATTTAATATTTGACGGGTCTCTGGAAAATTATTCCTGATTCGAGTCAGTCATACTGACTATATGAAAACCTATGAGTGGTATGAAGCGAGATGGTGCATCTAAATACTTTAATGTTGCATAATTTATGAAAAGAAACCAGGGGTGTCCAGAAGCATGTTTCATGGCGCGACTTGCGTTATCAAACATTTTTGTAGAGGGAGGCGCATTTCAATGGAGTTATCAATTTTCGGATTGAAAGGTTTCCAACCATGGACTACGGACAAGTATGGACCAGACCACAGCAAGTGTAATTGAATATAATCTACGATTTGCATTATTCTACTTTCGCTTGGACTATTATTAAGAAGAGTAGAGTAATACAATTTCTTGAGATGCGCTATCGGCATTGGTAAGAGAAAAAGCGTGGGCATATCCATAATCATAAGTATGGTGTCGGACATTTTTGTTAAAATGAGATTAATATTGCTTTATAATTTTTTTGAATTATAAAGATACTAGTACTGTTTTGGATTGAGTGATAAAACTTCACTTATGAAAAGTAGTTTTCATAAGTGATAAAACTTCACTTATGAAAAATAGTTTTCAAAAATATCAATTTTAGATATCTCGGCTTTATTAAAAACTCAGTAATTTTTTAATGAAAAAGTGACTAGCGTATACATCTTTTAACATTACTTTTATATCCAAGTTGTGGGAGTGATATTAATATAATGATGGCTGTGTTCCACTCCTTTGATAAGAACGCCGCATATAATTATCGTACACGAAGATAACAGAGCTCGACATTTTTTTATTCATATTTATAGGGAATAATATAACACTATCTACAAGAAGAATCATAAAGGAGAGAACGTTAATGCCCCAAAAGTAAATTATGCAAGATCATGAATGTGCCTTGACATGGTGTCGCGGCGTGATAAGCGAGTTAACACCAGGCATTAATCAAAGGATACGGTAAATGTAAATGTGATGCATGCATTGTCCAAAGAGTCAATATGGAGAAAAATAAACTAAAGTCGAAACGAAGAGATGGTTGAACGCAGGGTACAACATGTAATGAAACAACAGTTTGACTTCTTATTTTTTTTGTCTGAAGATTTCGATAGTATTAGAGATGCTCGGAGATTATTGGCACCAGCTCGTTGGAAAAACTGGTGAAGAGAAGGTTAGTATTACGTTTTAATAGTGTACAATATACTAGTTGGTCCGTGCTAATAATTCGCACAGTATATTGTTCAGTGATCAAATGAAAATTTGATTAGAAAATAAAATAATACAACGTATCATAACATCGAAAAATCAATTCATATTTTCTCGGTGATTATAATAAATAAAGGAAATGAAAATAAATTAAAAATTTCATTTATGTTTTGAACCTACTTGTTTACAGATTCCAATAAGCTGTATTATTGCTAATAATAGTCCAATTTCAATGATTTTTTTTTCGTTTTGTAGAGAATTTAGTAATCTTGAGTTTTTTGTAATTACAAAAAATGTATTCTTTTTGAAATATTCGCAAATGGAATTTCTTTTCCATCAAACCTTTTTTACCGAAATTTTGTGGGAAGGTGTGACTATATCTCACACCTTGATAGGAAGGTAACCATCTAAATGGTGCCTCAATCTTGGGATTTGATGAAGAATCAACGAATATATGGCATATTGAAAAAAAAAAAAAAGTTAATAATATAAACTCCTCCCTAGATCATAGGGATCTCAAATTGACGCAATAGACATATATATCATGGCAGCACTACAATTAACGTGAAGTTGTGTGGCTGTGAAAACTTAGCATTGCATTATCTCTGGTACATTTTTGGGCTTTATAAAGCAGGGTCTGGTAGTTCCAAATGTTTAGTTATCCGTATAAAAATCTTCCGATCCCAATTTTTTCACTATCGATCCACCGACTTACCACCAGTATTGAATTCTAGCGAAATGTTTAAATAGAGTTCATTTATTTTAGAAAGAAAAAATAAAAGCGGCGAGTACGATTCGCTCACACCCGTGAAATTATGAATCAAACGGTACTCCATTCATGGAATTTGAGCATGACAGGAGCTTATAGTTGATACAAAATCGATTTCGAGCGTCGCTATAATAATATATGGGAGGATTAGAGGTAGCGAGAGGTAAAACGTCATACATACATAAAAGAGTAGCTCAGTTAGCGATTTTATTACCTGTAGTATTATATAATTATTAATTATACCAATGTGTTGGTAGAGTTAAGTATAAAATATAAGAGGCAGAATATCAAGAATAAAATAAAATATTTAAACATTAATTAAATTTAACGCCAAGTTACCAG